CAGTGGTCTTTTTATCGGTACTGGAGACATTTAAAACATATATGTCATATGTATTATTGCTACATGAACATTATATTGCAGTTTTAGTTTCGCCAACTCCTTTTCTAATATGCAATAAGACTACAAAATGCGTCTATGATGTATTTTCCAATCCAGACGAGAGAGCTCTCTCCCCCGTCTGTGTGCGAGGGGGCGGGGCAGTTTGTAAAGGTCTCCTGACTGTGTTACAGACTGTCATCCTGGTTAGTGGTTACTCTGGGTTCTGTCTTCTGTCTTCAGGACAGAGTGTTGGATTTTTTTGTTAATCGGATGGGACTTGATTGGATTCAATATTAGAGTAACTGTCTTGCTTGTGTGTTTTTTTTTAAATATATTTGGCCTTTGTTTCTGTGTTTGACTGATTTACTCAAATAAAAAGGTTGATGAATTATCATCTAATGATTTGTATGATGTTTTATTTATGTTACAGGTCACTTTGAATGATTTTAACTAATGAAAATGTAGAAAAACAAATATTTTAAATTCGGGACGGTCCACATTAATTTCGGGACGGCTTAGATTGTATTTCGGGACGGTTCCGGGAGGATGGTGAAAAAAGTTAGTCGAGAGCCCTGATGTTGGTTGTATGTTGTGTAACAAAGGGTTAACATGACAGCTGTGATGTTCACTCTTTTGACAGAGCACCAGTGGACAGTAAAGACTATGGAAGAGAAGATGTGATGGCTGTGTGGAAAGCTGCTGACGCCAGCCTGTGTTCCTCATCAGTTTCTCCAGGCAGCACCCAGCTATTCTTCCATCTTGCAGATGAAAAGACTTTGATATGTGAGTAATAACTTGTGTCTAACATAATATTCAATGTGGTTTAGTAAAGTATTTAAAAATACCCCACATTGTACATGTACAGGACAATCAGACCTTTTTCAACAAAGATCATCACACTACGGTGGCCCGGAAGTGCAAGACACCACAGCATTTCAGAAAACACAACAGCATTTCAGAAAACACCGCAGCATTTCAGAAAACGCTACAGCATTTCAGAAAACGCAACAGCATTTCAGAAAACACAACAGCATTTCAGAAAACGCAACAGCATTTCAGAAAACACAACAGCATTTCACAAAACGCAACAGCATTTCAGAAAACACAACAGCATTTCACAAAACGCAACAGCATTTCAGAAAACACAACAGCATTTCACAAAACGCAACAGCATTTCAGAAAACACAACAGCATTTCACAAAACGCCGCAGCATTTCAGAAAACACAACAGCATTTCAGAAAACACAACAGCATTTCAGAAAACACAACAGCATTTCACAAAACACCACAGCATTTCACATTGGACGGAAAGGGTATTCCTTTAGGGAGAACACTTCTTGTTTGTGATTGGACAGAGCCAGCCAGAGAAGCACTGCTGTGATTGGTTGTTTTTGCTGCCAGTCAAGAAATGACACTTCGTGATTGGTCAGCACCCGAGCGCAACATGTCCCAACACATCAGCCGTTAGCTATTTGCACACACTCAGAGCTTACAGCTCCTCATATCTGTTCAGAAACTGGACAAAAGTTAAACAAGTACAAACCACAGACTGTCTATGTCATGGCGAATACAGTCGCTGCTTTATTTATGTCTGTATGACGCTGTTGTGAGTGTGGACGGAGCAGCTACAGGTTAGTTTAGCCTGATCGATCCGCCCCCTCTCCAGCACGTCTTGTTTGAATGACAGGAGTAAACACTGACAGCTGCGGTGAAACTCGACAACAAAATGAACATATTGACCGTGATTTAATTGTAATACACGTTTCAAAGTGATGCCGAAGTAACTACATACTGATACCGGTTAGTAAAAACCATGAATTAATGCTTTGACAAGTCTTCAGACAAGACGGCAGGCGAAAAGCTTTTAAAATGCGTGTTTTCTGAATGGAATCGGATCCATCAGGCTAAACTAACCTGTAGCTGCTCCGTCCACACTCACAACAGCGTCATACAGACATAAATAAAGCAGCGACTGTATTCACCATGACATAGACACTCTGTGGTTTGTACTTGTTTAACTTTTGTCCAGTTTCTGAACAGATATGAGGAGCTGTGAGCTCTGAGTGTGTGCTAACAGCTAACGGTTGATGTGTTGGGACATGTTGGCTGTCGGGTGCTGACCGATCACGAAGCGTCATTTCTTGACTGGCAGCAAAAACAACCAATCACAGCAGTGCTTCTCTGGCTGGCTCTGTCCAATCACAAACAAGAAGTGTTCTCCCTAAAGGAATACCCTTTCCGTCCAATGTGAAATGCTGTTGTGTTTTCTGAAATGCTGTTGTGTTTTCTGAAATGCTGTTGTGTTTTCTGAAATGGTGTAGCGTTTTCTGAAATGCTGTTGCGTTTTCTGAAATGCTGTGGTGTTTTCTGAAATGCTGTTGTGTTTTCTGAAATGCTGTTGTGTTTTCTGAAATGCTGTGGTGTTTTCTGAAATGCTGTGGTGTCTTGCACTTCCGGGCCACCGTATCAGACAATTGTTTTGTCTTTTGAGGTACAGCCGCAGCAGAGAGTCTGAGTTTGAAGAAAACCCTACAATTGTATTCAGTGTTGTTTAATCAATCAATATTTACTGGTCTTGAATTTCCTCACTGGATTACAAAATGCTCGAATCTTATTGTACAGGGACATTATGCAGATTTCATCAACTGAAGATGAAAATATAGATTCAGCGATATGTACCATTTTAAGGAAATAGACTGTTAGCGGTATTGACCGAAGCTCCGCAGCTGTAGCTAGGCGCTGCTAATGAAAACTCAAGTGCTCAATTTGTTACTTTTGCTTTTTTATTAAGAATTGACCAAGCATATCTTCCTCTTCGAAATCCCAGTTGTACTTCGCTAACACGCAGTGCCTGCGAGAGTGCGTTTGATTGTTCCCACCCTTACCTCATTTATGGACTAGGTCATGTTAGACAAGCAATCCAGTGGTTAGTTTTAGGGTAAGGTTTTTTTTATTTATTCACTTTAAGAGAAAGGGATTTCAGAAACAAGTCTCACAAGTTTGCCTCAAGGTAACATTAACAAAAGCTAACTGTTGTTAGACTATGTTCCCCGCTTCTAAACTTATGAAATGAATGAGAAAAATATGAACAACTCTTCATAGAGCCACACCCACACAGCTTTAAAGTTGTAGGAAGCTGAAGCACTGCATTCGTGCCAGCGCCTAGTTGTAGTTTCTAAGGTATTAGAAAGTTGTTTTTTCTGGAAGGGGTTTAGCATTTGATCAATTCCCTTGGGATGCCATCAAGAACTGTTTTTACAATCAATAGTGTGTTTAAGTTTCCAACCCTGCTTCAAAGGTCCATCATACAAGATGGGGGATCTATTGGCAGCTGCTGATAATAACATTCATCATTATGGTTTACTAATTGTTGTCTTTTTGTCCTCTAGGTTGCACTGCCACATCTACAGTAGCGCAGAATGGACAGAGGAAACATGATTGGGCCTCAAGTTTTTTGCAGCCAATATACATTCTCCTACAAACTTGGGATAGGAGGGTGAGTGAACAAGTTATCCATTGGTTGGAACCTACCATTGTTAGACGTACTAAATCCTGCACACTGCTCCTTCAAATGGACAATGTGAACATATGTCGCCATTTTGTAATTTCTGTTATTTTCAGTTGAGAATGTTTCAAAGTAATCTTAAAAAATTAAACTTACTTTTTGTTTATACTGTTTATAAGTAGATGTTTAAATATTAAATGCTGTATTCATTAATGGTTGTATAATTCTACAAATATTTTTATAATTTAAGTTTTAACATTTTTATAGTAATTGTTCCCTACAGAACATTTTGTGCTGTCTTTTTATTGAACGTCTTTGATTGGAAAATGTTAGAAAAAAGCTGTAAAATAACAGTATTCTACCTGTAGAACTTTAGGTTCTGCATTTACTTTTGTGTTTGATCATAAAAATCTAATAAAAAAAATGTAAAAAACAATTTTTCTCATCAGAACTTTATTTAAGGTATTTGAATGTAACATTTTAAGACAATGGATTTTGAAAAGAGAGGAAACATCTGTAACACTACAATGTTTTCCTGTAAAATCTTTAAGGACAATTCCTGTTTATTAATTGCTTTAGCACTTTATTTCAGTGAAAGTATTTTACTTTAATTTAAGGGTTTTTGTTTGGCAGTTTTCTTTTTTACAGTGTAGCCTATTTGATTTGACCCAACTGGACTCACGGGTGAGATGCTTTTTGTGCATTTTTGCTTGCTGTATGTGGATGACGTGATTAGTCATGTCATCCAATAGTATTTGACAGGAAACCATTGTATGAGCTTCCTCCAGGAAGGACCGGAGCTGGGGACTACAGTTATGCACGTCTATCATTGTAAATTGATAGTAAATTGCTGGCTACTCATCTGCATTACTTTCACAGTACACATAGTACATTCACAGTAAATTACTGGCAACTCCTGCATTGCTTTCACAATAGAAATGTAAAAGTACAGGCCCTTGTTGTAATGCATGTACAACAAAATGATGTAATTCCCCAGTAACATACTGTAATATCACAGTAATTCCTTAGTCATTGAAGCTGTGAAGTTACAGTATACAGTTTTACCTTTACAATAATGCATTGTAATATCATGGGTGTGAAATTACAATACATTGCTGTGAAGACATTCACAGCAATGCATTGTAATATCATGGGTGTGAAATTACAATACATTGCTGTGAAGACATTCACAGCAATGTATTGTAATATCATGGGTGTGAAATTACAATACATTACTGTGAAGACATTCACAGTAAATTGCTGTGAATCTTACTGTGAAAGTCATGCAAAATTTGGCCAAGTATTTATTGTGAATTCACGGTGAATATTTTTACAGTGCACTTATTGTAAGTCGCTTTGGATAAAAGCATCAGCTAAATGTAATGTAATGTAATTTAAGGGTGAGATAAAATAATTAAAGTGTTAAAATGTTTGAATCCAGAGAAACAGGACGACATGTTTTCGAGTTGAGCATTATTGTGATTTAATTCACTATGTCTTATATCACAAAGAAAGTCTTTAAAAATGCAGACTAGAATTTCTGTATATAAACTGTACACAAAAAGCAAGGCACTATACATTCAGAGCTGCTGTTTCTCTTCCTCATCAAACCTTTAAAATTACAACTCTTACATCTCGGTAGGTCACGACTCAGCAGTTTTAACACAGTGGAGCAACTTGAGATCCTACGTGGTCAGACAGCATCCGGACAGAAAAGAAAAAAAAAAACGTTCCCCACAACATCTGACGTGACGGGATTTGTTTTTACACACATGTACACAAATACACATTACACACAAACATTATATACAGCCGCACACACACATACATACACAGCATGGCACTCTGACACCAAGCGTTCTATGTGTACATTTTCATTCTTAATCCTGACTTTGGAGGGGACTCCAAAACACCGTGTATGAACCGAAGCAAAGTTTATTTTTCCACTTTCTCTTAAAACGTTTGAATTTCTGTTACGTAATGACAAAGTTTAAAGATGAAACATGACTATAAGCAAGGCGAGTGTCGGCCTGTGTTCCTTTTCTTCAGATTCCGGTACTTTCCATCCCAATGTCCTCTCGTGTTTCCATCAAAACAGGTTAATGTGACATTTCCTGTGTCTCCGTCTCCGTCTCCATCTCCATCTCAACAGGCCAGTTTTTATCCGCTGCTTCCATCTTCGATTTAAAAAAACTTTCTTAAAACAATCCTCTGGCCTTCTTTATGTTCACTTGCTTCCACCCTGGTAAACTTTCATATTCCTCTCTTTTCATCTCCAAAGCCTTCTGCAAATAGAAGTAGAGACAGCAGGTAATTCATCAGGACACACACATTTCACTTCATGTACTGTTTTAACGGAAAGTGTTGTTTCTTGTAACTGATAACATCTGTGGAGCCTTCAAAATTGGTCTTCTGGAGAAAAAAACCCAACACATTTAATGGATTTGTTTTTTCTCCCTCAGATAATAATAATAAATTTTATTTATAAGCGCACTTTTCAAAAAACTCAAAGTGCTAATAAGGTAAGATCAGGTAAATAAGAGTCTGTCAAATACTGCACATGTTGTTAATCTCTTTACATTTCGTACTTATAAGCCTTTTACATTTTTTCAGAATGATTCCATATGTCAAGGGTACACATTTATTTTTAAATATTCTCTACGCTAGAAAGTCTTATTGTCATCTACGTTTGATTAAAATCTAAGTGGCTGTGAATTTTCCAAGAAATATTACCTGCTTAAGGTCTGAGGATTGAAAGGTGTTAAATATAGTTTTCTTGGTTCTATCACAGTTAGATGTCAATTTTAAAACTGTATTATGTATATTAAAGTGTAAAATACATATTCTTATAGGTCAATAATGCAATATATTCTGCATAGCACACTAATTTGGTTCATATTTTTGCTGATTACTCGCAGTCTGTATCATAATATGGTGGCGAAGTCAATAGGGACTTGGCTTGGCAACTGGAAGGTCACCAGTTCGAGTCCCGGCAAGACCAAGTGCTACCGAGGTGTCCCTGAGCAAGGCACCGTTCCCTACACTTCTCCCCGGGCGCCGGACATAATGGCAGCCCACTGCTCCTAACACTAGGATGGGTCAAATGCAGAGGAACAATTTAGTTACATAGTACCTGTACTGTGAAATGACAAAAAGAGCAATTTATTTATTTTATAATATACTGTCTGTTTGGTCAATACTGGGCTATTTGAGAGAAAACACACTGGTTTCATGTTAATGATATATATATGTATCGCTGTGTGGATTGTTACGAGGGAAGTTTAGTTGTTTCAGTGTTTTCATGCCTCCATTTTGTGCTCCAAAGACAAACAGTGAGTCAGACTGAGAGCAGCTGATGGTGAATCATGAGTGCATTTATTCAAACGAAGGGGAAAGACTCTCAGGTGGAAGGTGTGTGTGTGTGTGTGTGTGTGTGTGTGTGTGTGTGTGTGTGTGTGTGTGTGTGTGTGTGTGTGTGTGTGTGTGTGTGTGTGTGTGTGTGTGTGTGTGTGTGTGTGTGTGTGTGTGTGTGGGAGAAGAGATGAGCAGCATCAGCAGAAGAGTGTGGTGTAGTCGAAGGTGGTGAAGAGGAACAATGGCTGCACAATTAAATGTCTCAATTATCACAAAAGGTGTTTTAAAACTTTTGTTAACACACTGAAATGTGTGTTGAAAACTGCTCAATCAATCTTTAACCATTGAGGATTATATGGGGGTCAATTTCTACTTGAATAATACATTTTAAATATACAACTTATCCTACTGAAAACAATAAGTTAATGACACATTTTTATTTATACGACTGAAACTATCATTTTATCTACATAAATAACCATTTATATTTAATAAGTATGACCATAACAAATATATTTAATACTTTAAATATATATTTGTAGTTTCTAATGTTGCTGTCCCTAGCAGGAGTAGGATGTGAGTGTGTCTCATATGTCATTTTATATCCGTTGAACATCCTGAATGGTTTTTGACGGCTGCTGTTGAAGGACTCGACTGACTGGATTTGATCTAATAGAATAATCAGGAGGATCGTTTCAGACGTAATCGTGCAGCCAAGCGCTAAACTTTCCCCCCCAACCGGACCCACACTGAGGAGAGAGGGGTGAAACAGGAGTGAAACAGAAACAGAGGTGTCAAACCACGTGAATATTAAATATTAAGAAAAGAAACACAGTGCTGACGTGCCGTAGAGAAGAGAGGTCGCCTGAATCACACAAATGTCTCTTCTTACCTGATCCACCTACAACTCGCTCTGTGAAGTGAGAGTTAGATGGCGTTAGGATGGATGTTATGAAGAGGAAGTTGTAGATTTGATGGAAAAATCAACCTTTGCATATTTCAAACATTACCTACAATGAGGAATAAGTCCTGTTGTTATTTACTGCTTCTTATATATCAGTCTACAGCAGGGGTGTCCAAACTTTTTTCCCCGAGGGCCACATACAGAAAACTATACGAAGGGCTGGGCCACTGAGGTGAAATGAGGTGTATTGCCTCATAAGTTCAGTTATAAGTTGGAAAAGTCAATCCAATGTAGGCCAATTATTCTTGATACTTGAAAATGCTGTAAGAAAAAAACAGCTCACAGCTCTCCATGGGGTTTCATTTATTATGTTGGCAGCTCGTTCCTTAAAGCAGAAGCTTCAGATTGCTTATCATAAGAGGAAATATGAAGGGTATATTTCAAGGTTGTTATGAAAATAAGTTATTGGGCTTTTTTCTTATCAACTTAGATTTGTTAGAACATGTTTCCAACTTTAATTGACATAATGTATTTGAAAATGTATCTTATTAACACATGAATACTGTGTAATACATTTGAACATATATATTTAAGAAGTACAATATGAGACAAGCACAAGTTTCATTTGTGGGCCGTATTTTATACTTTTTTAATTTGCTGTGGGCCGATTCAAAATGGTCCGCGGGCCGCATTTGGCCCTCGGGCCGTAGTTTGAACACCCCTGCACTACATGTATGTCTGCTGGATGGAGCAGCTTCTGGAAATATGTTGATGTTTTTTTGGCTTCCTATCAAATACACAGCTGAATAATAAAGAGTCATCACAACAGTGTGAAACATATTGCAATTGCAGTTTCAGTTCAAATAATTTCAAGTCATGCAGCCCTATATGTAACCCTGCCTGGACATCATAGACAAAGTAAATCAGGTTTGGTGCAGCAGGTTTTCAGGAGGCTTTCTGACCTCAAAGTCCTGGTCCGAGAGGTATATCTCCAGCCGGAGGGGGTCCACTCCTTCAGGGAGGGGCCGGGCCTGCAGCTGGGCGAGGGGGAAGGTGTTCTGACAGAGCCGCGCCAACACGTCCTCCACCAGGATGATCTGGTGACACACCTCCGCCTCCTGCCGGCACAAATCACTGCATCAAGTCTTTTCAAAGTCAAATCTTTATTGTCAATCTTTCAGTTTGTGTGGACAGACAGAGAGATCCAAATACCGCTTCCCACAATCCCGAATACAAAAATATATAAAGATATGTATGCAAATATGTATATACCTATATATACACAATTATACATATGCACACATTAAGACATAAATAAAAGCACAAAAATCAATATATACAAAATAACAGTCACTTCAATAACTTTGAGAATGTGCATTGGTGCAAGACTGTCCATAGCAGCGTAAAAAGTGTCTGGTGCTGGATTTGATTTGAATGCATTATGTTATATTCAGAGGTGGAGGAAGTACTCAGATCTTTCATTTAAAGTGGACCTATCATGCTATATTTGAATAATATAGTGTGGACCATACCTATATAAGGCATATTTATACTTTTTTTTTTTCAAAATACCAAACAGATCATGCATTTTAGCCATGCCTCATTTCGCTCAATTTGACATTTTTTAGCTCTGTTTTTGCAAGGGCAGATTCTGTGAGAACAGCACCATCTACAGGCCTGGCATATGTACTACAGCGTCTCCAGCGCTTTCGAATGGCAATGGCCGTGGCTGTCTCCTCCTGATTGGTGGAGTTGGCCCAATAGCCGTAGCGCCACCGTCCTGACGTCAGGACAGTGTTCAAATCTGGATCAGTTTTTATCAGATCCGTTGCAGCCCCTTTTTTAGAGATTTGGGTATGGAGGAAAATAGAGAGGGTTGTGTTTTCTGACACTTGGTGAGTTCCCTGGAACACCGGGGACACATATTCATGTATAAAAGACGTACAAAAGTGCATTTTGCATGATAGGTCCCCTTTAAGTAAATGTATTTATACCACAGTGTAGAAAAGGCCCTGCTTTCATTATTTTAATTAAAGAGGAAATAAAATGACCATGTTCAGCTTTTATATGTGTATTTTCTGCCTCTACTGTCTCCATGCTTTTATGTTCAAAAAGCTCTTTATTTTTCTCATACTGCCTGTGCTGCAGCACCTCTTTTCACCCTCTGTCTGAAACCAGAGCCAGAGAGAGTGTGTGGGAGAGAAACTCCCTTTGGAGGGAACACATGGATTTAAGCCTTTGCAGAGCATTTACATGCACACAAACCTATAACACACTACAGGAAAGGGAAAATATACCCAACAAATAAATACATATCCACTTTAATACCCACTTTAAGTAAAATTGCAAAAGTATTAGCTTCAAAAGATACTTGAAGTACCAAAACTAACCATATCTTATTGTGCAGAATGGGCGCTGCCGCAGGAAGTCTCCCTCACTTGTTTATGTAGACACACACTTGTACGTGTGTGTGTGTGTGTGTGTGTGTGTGTGTGTGTGTGTGTGTGTGTGTGTGTGTGTGTGTGTGTGTGTGTGTGTGTGTGTGTGTGTGTGTGTGTGTGTGTGTGTGTGTGTGTGTGTGTGTGTGTGTGTGTGTGTGTGTGTGTGTGTACCCTCTCTGTGATCTCGGCCACATCCTCTCGGTGCTCCCAGCTGGGGAACATGTTGGTGAAGGTGAGCGGCTCCAGTCCGGCGTGGATCAGATACGACTTCTGAGGCTTCTTCTCGTTCTTCTCTGCAGGAAGGGAGAACACGATACTTCAGTACAAACCATGAACGAATGCTTGACAGAGGATTAACAAACAATCAAAAAACAACACAAACTCACACATCCAAAAGTAATGAGAATGACTGTAGCCCTGCACATTTCATATGAGGGATTTGAAGTATAGAAACATAATATTATATTATATTAGATATCTCGTTCACACAGCATTTATTTCATTGACTTTCTTACCTTTGCAGTACTGCAGCACCGTCTCCATGGCGCACTTTCTGTCGGCATCCCAGCGGAAACGAGCCGAGCCGGTGCTCTCGCTGTCCTGAGGCCACCAGCCCTGCCACAGGTACACCTCGTGGAGGTTATCCACCAGGAACAGCGCTGTCAGGGAGAGGAACGGGTTTATTACTGCATGATATCTGTCAGCACAAGACATGTTCACACCACACCCAAATCACGTCTCCACCGCTAAGCTAAAGACGGCTAATTATCGGCATGATGACATTTAGCAGGCTCATTTAGTCACTTGTTGGCAAATGCCATTTTTAGATTATTTACTGACACATTTTATGTCGTAGAACAAAGTGTGAACATCTCTTCAGCTTGTGTTTACCACAGACTTAATGTCAGGCTTCAAACCAAAAACTCACTCAGAAAACCCTTGACTTTGAGAAGAGGGAACCCGGAAGTGCTAAAACACTATTAAATAAATAGATTATTTAAAGTACTTCTTACAGGGTATCTGCACATTTTTTAAGTACAAATGTAATGACTTTTAAGACCTTTTTAAGACCTCTAAAAGGAACAAATAATACCAACTCAAAAAATCGATGAACTAGACAACAGTATAAACCGTTACTAGTTGTATGCCATTTGAATAACGGGAAGTATTCAGTGTGCATTACCCAACATGACTGCCTTCGCATTAACAAAAACAAAATGTTATGGCAGTAGACCAATAGAAACCAACGTCCCCCCTGCACACTCATTCATTCTGCCCCAGATACAATGTCATACCTCCCCTTCTAAAATTCCAGACCTTTTTAGATCTTTTTAGACCTTGAATATGTTCAGTTGACTCCTTCAAAAGTCATTTAAAGACATTCCTGTTTGGGCAGGCGTTTGTGTAACCTGTGTGCTTTTATTTTATTCTATTTTATCCTATGTTTTTATTGTGTTTTTAGCACTTCTTAACACGTGGCTTGTGTGGTCATTTATTATTGTATGATTCCTATGATGATTTAATGTTTTGTCAAGCACTTTGTGACTATGTCTGTGAAAAGCGCTTTATAAATACATTTACTTACTTACTTGAATATCAAAAAAATAAATGTAAGACTTTTTAACTCATTCCCTGGTTTCCTGTTGGTGTGTGTGAAGCCTCACCAGGTTGCTGTGGAGCGTTGTACAGGTCTTCCTGCAGGAAGGGCAGGGAGCTGACCAGCTCTGGAGCTCTGGACAGGTGGAAGAACTCATTCGCCACAAACTCTCCAGATGTGCTGCTCAGCTGGAAAAGCCGCGGGGTGAAGTTGAATTTACCCGGGTCTGAAAAGGGAAATCAGAAAACCAACATCAAGATAAATCAATCCTCAAGGTTTCACCGGACAAATGCAGCACATGGTTTTGCATCAAAGTATTGCATGTTACATGTAGTATTTTAGTCATAGATGTAAAAACAATAGTTAACTACCAAAGCTTTAATTAAATACCTGGTCTTGTTTATTTCTTTTTAAGTTCTCCATTCCCCTGTTGTTTAATGTTGCCCTGTGTTTTTAGGGTAGGCGATTTGAGACTTTTATTGTTAAAAAAATGTATAAATAAAAGCTCAGAAAAGGAATATAAAACAACAACAATTTTTTTCATAATGATACCATATGTTAAGTGCACTATTTTAAATAGTATCCAGCCAGATTGGAGGCCTTTTAAATGGTTTAATTTCAACTTCCATGACTTTAATTGACCACATTTTAATTTCAAAATTTATGATCGATTGAATTTGTGTCAAAATAGAACTGTTCTAGCTTTGTTTGAGCTGAGAGTGAATCTACAAGTGTATATTATTAAGTAATCAGATGACGTAGTTACCTTGTAGCATGCAGTCGTAGGCCTTCCTGTCTTTTCTCCCCAGAGCCTCCCAGAAGCCCTGAGGCTCCGCCCCCTCGTCACACTCATGGATCGTCACCTTGCTGCTGCTGTGAAGCCCCGCCTCCAGAGGACACCTGAGGAATAAGAAACACAATATAATCCATGCACAACAAAATGTAATGATGTAAACTTTCAACCAAAAACATCCACCACCGACCAGTTGTGATAATGATAACCCTCTAAAGCCTACAAAGACAGAGGAGCACATGGACATAGTTTCATATGTTTGCCAAATTCTTTCAGACAGTATCAAGTGTTGTACATACTAACATTAGAGAAAACCTCCTCCTTCTCTCTACTGCAGTGTAAAGTCACCATCTCTCATTACCTTAGTGTTAGCAAATCATATTTCACATACGATATGATTTACGATATTGAAAGGATTGATCATTTTTGCATTATTATTCTTTCATTATCATTGAACGATATGTTTAAAATGATCATAGTGGGATTTTAAAGAGGACCTGTACAAAACAATGATATTTTATTAAGTGCGTAGGGTACATTTTGAAGGCTGGGACATCTATGCAGTTCATTCAGAATATTATTTACAAATATTGTAGCTCATAGTAGCCCATACTGCGATTTTGATTAAATTGCGATTAATTGTGCATTCCTACAGGCGATTGGATATTGTTCTGAGCCAGACTCTTTATGACATGATAAAAAGAGTGACTGTTTTCACAGATATTATCTATAATCTCCTCCTGACCTTTCCTGAACAACTCACTGTTCTTTGATCTTGTGAGCGGCCGTGCTCCCCACACTGCGGGTGTGCAGCTGCGTCTTGCAGCCGTGCCACAGGTAGATGATGGCCTTGTTGATGTTGAGCAGGATCATGGAGGCTCTGGAGCGCAGGGAGCTGCAGTGACTCGCCACCTCCAGCAGGTGGCCCTCCACCGGCACCTCGCCCCGCACGCAGTACAGACGCCAATCGCCTGCACACAGACCATACATCGCTTATTTATACAGTATATATATAGCTTTATTTTATTTATTCCATACATGGCAGTTATTTTAAAACAGAACATGTACACTTATACTGGTTGTTTTTTATAGCGCATGGTGGAAAGGAGCAGGGAGTCGAAAATGAAATAACCATAAAAAAGTTAAATTAAAGCACTATTCTTTCAGTCACAGTTGCTTACAAATACTGAAACATAAAACCAGTCAACTTCATACTGTCTAATTACGCTTTCTTTATACATGTTCTAAACATAAACATTTTCTTACAGCCCTTTAAATCATTCGGCAAAAATCATCATCATCAAGGACCATGCATAAAGATACTTTAAAGTGGACCTATCATGCTATATTTGAATAATATAGTGTAGGACCATTCCTATATAAGGCATATTTATACTTTTTTTTTTTCAAAATACCAAACAGATCATGCATTTTAGCCATGCCTCATTTCGCTCAATTTGACAATTTATAGCTCTGTTTTTGCAAGGGTTGATTCTGTGAGCAACAGCACCATCTAGAGGCCTGGCATATGTACTACAGCGTCTCCAGCGCTTTCGAACAGCAATGGCCGTGGTTGTCTCCTCCTGATTGGTGGAGTTGGCCCAATAGCCGTAGCGCCACTTTCCTGACGTCAGGACAGTGTTCAAATCTGGATCAGTTTTTATCAGATCCGTTGCAGCCCCTTTTTTAGAGATTTGGGTATGGAGGAAAATAGAGAGGGTTGTGTTTTCTGACACTTGGTGAGTTCCCTGGAACACCGGGGACACATATTCATGTATAAAAGACGTACAAAAGTACATTTTGCATGATAGGTCCCCTTTAATCTAAAAAAAACATGATAAAACAATCATGACATACGTGGAACAAACAAAACCATAACCCATTTTTTGTAAGTATATTACAAAAGATACCTGACTTTATTTCCTTTACTTTTAAAGCTGTACATAAGTAGAATAAAATGTTAAAATGTTTACTCTGATTGTTCTCCTCCTCCTCCTCCCTCTTGCCAGCGTGGACGATCATCCCTCCGTTGAAGCACTGAAGGAAACATGGAGGCTCTTTCCCCTGCTGCACCTGGACCTGGGACACGGACACGGGGAAAACAAGTGATGAAAATAATGCAAAACACTACTTTAATGACTTCATAAAGTTGATCTGCTTATAGATAGGGAGGTATCTGGAGAATTGATTGATGTAACATCTGAATATCATTCATTAAAAAAATATTTATTGCGTTCATTTTGACTGTTAATTTTTGACTGACGATTTGATTCTTGATATTGATGGGAATGAGCATTTTTGCATCATCAATTCTCATTATCATTGATAAATAGATTAAAATAATTTTTTTTTTTTAAGAAGATCTGTACCACGCTTCTTCAGTAAGAATGACAAAAAAATGACACTGTTGACATGTTCAATAAATAGACTAATAAAAAAAAATGTTGTGGTCCACATTGCGATTTCGATAACATTTCAATTAATTGTGCAGCCCTAGTTAGTGTCTTATCAGGGACACCGAACGTCGAAAAATTACCATTAAATCGCTGAAATATTGTCTACTTTTTACTTTCTGTTATATTATTAGGCTGCAGTCTACTCACTGGCCACAAAAAGCGTGACCACATCACCCCAATTCTGGCTTCCAATTCGGTTCCAAATAGATTTTAAACTCCTTTTATTTGTTTTTAAAGCACTAAATGGGCTGGCTCCGGCCTATATAGCTGAACTCCTCCAGCGCTACACCCCAACAAGAGCTTTAAGGTCTGCTGACCAGCTGTTGCTGATAGTGCCCAAGACCAGGCTCAAAACCCGAGGGCACCGAGCCTTCGCAGCAGCTGGCCCGAGGCTCTGGAACACTCTGCCCCTCCATGTGAGGTCGGCCCAGACCCTAGGGGTTTTAAAATCTACTCTTAAAACACACTACTTCTCCCTGGCCTTTTAGTCAGAGCGGAGCACGACTCCTGACTTTTCCCTGTGTTTTATTTTTAAATATCTGTTGTAATTTATTGTCTTTTATTGTGATTGTAGAAATGTGTTTTTATGTGATTGTAGTTATTACATGTACAGCACTTTGGCCCGACCAAAAATCGCTTTTAAATGTGCTTTATAAATAAACCTTGATTTGATTTGATTTGATTTGATTTGAAGAGAAGCCTCCTCTCTTGTACCTGCGCTCCTCTCTCCTCGTCCAGCTCCACCGTCATCAGCGCCGACGTCCCTTTCTCGCTGACGGTGGAGTTTCGGCCCTGCCAGAAGAAGTAGCAGCATCGCTCCTTCCCCGGCCCGCTGCTCCTCACCTCCGGGTTCTGCCTACGACCCACTGGGATACACAAAGAAATCAACAAACTGTTCTGAACCGTCAATAATATATGTTGTTATTGCGGGGGAGACAGAGTTCATCTCTCGTCACAAACTGGACATCTTAACCTTGAAGCTTTAACAAATTGCTCTCCTCACTTTGAGAGGACATTAATGATCAGAATGTCCAGTTTTAGGTGTTACTTGTTAACTCAGTCATATACTTTTGACTGTTTTTGGGGTGACATCATCAGCTGGGATTTGCCATAATGAATGCTATTCATTTCAGGCGCGACAAAACATTTAAAATATTTCAAATGAAACTGTGTATACGTGTTTATCTATGTGTTTTTGACTTTATCTGAATTTTCCAGATGAACATCTCACCTTCCTGATATTTATGAGCATCATAAAGCATGAAGGTTTTAAAGATTTAGGCTTTCGAAAGTAGTGCTTTTGAATGTAAAGTTCCTCATACGAGTAATTCGTCATTGTCAAGTTTTCACAATCTCTAAAGCAAAATAATAAGTATTTTTTTCTAAATTCGTTCACTTCCTCTCGAGGGATCTACTGTAGATTTTACAAGTCTCATTTGTTGTTGATATATGTCTGTCATAATCGGTCCTCAATACATTTATTCAACAGGGTATGTTTGTTTTACGCTCTAGTGACTCAACATTTTTTCTTCAAACTATAGAGTTGGTCATTTGCATCCAATAGTAAACTCAGGGGCTGGAGTCTCTAACTATTTGAGTGTCTGAGTGTGTGTGGGGTGTCAAAGTCCCTCTGCCCCCACTGGACTATAACACCCCACACACACTCAGACACTCAAATCCAGCACCAGACATTTTTACGCTGCTATGGACATTCTTGCACTAATGTACATTTCCTAAAGATATTGAAGTGACTGTTATTTTGTATATATTGATTGTTGTGCTTTTATTTATGTCTTAATGTGTGCATATGTATAAATGTGTCTGTTGATTGTGTATATATAGGTATATACATCATTTTATATATATTTGTATTTTTGTATTCGGCATTGTGGGAAACGGTACTTCGATCTCTCTGTCTGTCCACACAAACTGAAAGATTGACAATAAAGTTGACTTTGACTTGAACTAACCTGAGGTGTTGACCATGTACTTCCACTTCACCACGTAGGCGTCTCCCTCGTGGAACTGGCCGATGCTCTGGCGTGGCAGGCGGCTGTAGTCGAACTCCAGGATGTGCCAGACGTCCACCGAGGCCGTGGTGATCTCCTGAATCCTCATGTGGTCCTCCGTCTCCACCGGGCCGTGGCCGCGTCCCACATTCGTCCCGTCTACGATGGTGGAGATGGACGTCTCGAGGACGGGGAGCATCAGGGTGGCGTCGTAAGGCCGGCACTCTCGCCCCTGGGCCTCCTGGGAGAGAACAGGGGGGAAAGATAACAGATAGGATCTATTACGAAAGTACATTTTAGGACGAAATCATTATAACACACATCGATCCTTCGGGACAAAGCTTTTAGTGTGTGTATATCCGCAACTCTTGATGCCTCACAAAGGGCCCTCAAGTCCCATCTATTTGCCAAGGCTTTGGGCCCCTAGTTTATTTGTTGTTTTGTCTGTCTGACTGTTTGTCTGACTGTTTGTCTGACTTTCTGTCTGACTGTTTGTCTGACTGTTTGTCTGACTGTGTGTCTGTCTGACTGTTTGTCTGTCTGACTGTTTGTCTGACTTTCTGTCTGACTGTTTGTCTGTCTGACTGTTTGTCTGACTGTTTGTCTGACTTTCTGTCTGACTGTTTGTCTGTCTGACTGTTTGTCTGACTGTGTGTCTGTCTGACTGTTTGTCTGTCTGACTGTTTGTCTGTCTGACTGTTTGTCTGACTGTTTGTCTGTCTGACTGTTTGTCTGACTGTCTGTCTGACTGTTTGTCTGTCTGTTTGTCTGACTGTTTGTCTGACTGTCTGTCTGACTGTTTGTCTGACTGTTTGTCTGACTGTTTGTCTGTCTGACTGTTTGTCTGACTGTTTGTCTGACTGTCTGACTGTTTGTCTGACTGTTTGTCTGACTGTTTGTCTGTCTGTCTGTCTGACTGTTTGTCTGTCTGACTGTTTGTCTGACTGTCTGTCTGACTGTTTGTCTGTCTAACTGTTTGTCTGACTGTCTGTCTGACTGTTTGTCTGTCTGACTGTTTGTCTGACTGTCTGTCTGACTGTTTATCTGACTGTTTGTCTGACTGTTTGTCTGTCTGACTGTTTGTCTGACTGTTTGTCTGTCTGTCTGACTGTTTGTCTGACTGTTTGTCTGACTGTCTGTCTGACTGTTTGTCTGACTGTCTGTCTGACTGTTTGTCTGACTGTTTGTCTGTCTGACTGTTTGTCTGACTGTTTGTCTGTTTGTCTGACTGTTTGTCTGTTTGTCTGACTGTCTGTCTGACTGTTTGTCTGACTGTTTGTCTGACTGTCTGTCTGACTGTTTGTCTGACTGTCTGTCTGACTGTTTGTCTGACTGTGTGTCTGTCTGACTGTTTGTCTGACTGTTTGTCTGTTTGTCTGACTGTTTGTCTGACTGTTTGTCTGTCTGACTGTCTGTCTGACTGTTTGTCTGACTGTTTGTCTGTCTGACTGTTTGTCTGTCTGACTGTTTGTCTGTTTGACTGACTGTCAGTCTGACTGTTTGTCTGTCTGACTGTCTGTCTGACTGTTTGTCTGACTGTTTGTCTGACTGTTTGTCTGTCTGACTGACTGTTTGTCTGACTGTTTGTCTGTCTGACTGTTTGTCTGACTGTTTGTCTGTCTGACTGTGTGTCTGTCTGACTGACTGTCTGTCTGACTGTTTGTCTGTCTGACTGTCTGTCTGACTGTTTGTCTGACTGTTTGTCTGACTGTTTGTCTGTCTGTCTGACTGTTTGTCTGACTGTTTGTCTGTCTGACTGTTTGTCTGACTGTTTGTCTGTCTGACTGTTTGTCTGTCTGACTGTTTGTCTGTCTGACTGTCTGTCTGACTGTTTGTCTGTCTGACTGTCTGTCTGTTTGTCTGACTGTTTGTCTGACTGACTGTTTGCCTGACTGTTTGTCTGACTGTTTTTTTTGTTTCACTCCTGTTTTTCTGTAAAGCGACCTTGGGTCTCCTGAAAGGCACTATATACATTTAAGTTATTATTATTATAACTTTTTAATTTATGAATTTATTATTTAATTTATTTGTATATAACTTTTAATATTTATTATTAATATTGATTGTTATGGTTTTATTTGTATATACACATATAATATTTTTACATTTTCTTTTATCAATATAATTTAAAATGTGTTATTCATTATTCATTATTCATGTTATTTATTGTATGTTTATGTTGTGTATACTGGGATTATCCCTTGTTATTGAAACAAAACAAGAAGTAGAATCAGAAGTAGGGGGTAAAGATAACGGATAGGATTTATTAACGAAAGTACATCTTAGGACGGTATAATTATACCTTTCAGACAGTTTTTATTTTATTTATTTATTATTTTAATTATGTTTTTATTTGTATATACTTTTTAATATTTATTAATATTATTTTTAATGATTTTATTTGTTTGTATTCCATTTATTTATATACATATAATATTTGTACATTTTCTTTTATCGCTATAATTTAAAATCCAAGTGTCTTATTGTTGCCTGCAATGTGTTATTCATTATTCATGTTATTGATTGTATGTTTATGTTGTGTATACTGGCATTATCCCTTGTTATTGAAACAAAACAAGAAGTTAGAATAAGAAGTCTTTAATACTATTTTAGTTTTCTATTGATTACTCATGAGCGATGTATTCTCTATGATGCTTTGAATGGCATCCACTACAAAGACATATGGTCTATATTCCTATTCCTATTGCCGAGTGTGTAACCAACTGTTCCTGGCAACATGAACTGATGAGCTGCAGTAAACAGATGAAGAGATGGAGCTAACATATGACGACTCTCTGCTGTGTGTGACCAGTGTGAATAATGCAGTCCTCATGGGATAAGAGTCAGATGTTCACCTTCTGCTCAGGTACGATCTCTCCGCCTCCTTCCTTTGGTGTCGGCGACTTTGCTTCGGTCCAGTCCACAAACTTCTCCTTGAACAAGATGGTCTCGTTGTGCTCTGTCAGCCTGCCGAATACCGCCCAATCAGGACGGCCCTGGCCCTTCCTGTCAGCCACACACACAAAGACAAGGAGAAGGGATGTCAATATTACACTGTGAGCTATGCTATATCAACAGAGCTTCAATTACATTAAGCTCATTGAATTATTGTGAGTGTGAATATGCAGGTTTAGTTATGAACAGGTACAAGAGTGTTTTTATGTCCTCTTTGGTTTTTAGGTATTGTATATAAATTGTGGCGATGAGGGACATAATAAATACAGAAATATAAATGTGTTTGTTGAGTGTGTGTACTTGTAATACACATGTTGTGGGGACATACTAGCATTCACATAGTCATATTATGGGGACTCTGGAATATCATTTATTTTGGCTGATGTCATGTTTGAATAGTGACGGACAATTAGTTTGTAACACTATGCATCTTGTTAACCGTTGTGTTTTTATTGTATATTTTATTTTATGAAGTTGAGCATTGCTTTTATTTGCTTTCTAAACAAGTTTGGCAAAATTAACGTCCAATACAAATTATGTCCAGTTGCTTTACTTATATTTGGAATAGGTTCAGGTTACAGTCATCCTTCAGAAAATGAAACAAGTCAATTGAATGTGGCTGCAAGTGATAACAAGGTGTGTGTGTGTGTGTGTGTGTGTGTGTGTGTGTGTGTGTGTGTGTGTGTGTGTGTGTGTGTGTGTGTGTCACCTGGGTATGAGTGTGTTGCAGCCCCCAGGGTCCAGCGGGTTGACGTCGCAGCAGGTGTAGTCAAACGTCCCGTTCCAGAGGTGTTTGGCGAGCTGGAAGGCGACCTTCCTCTGAGCCAGTGTCACCTCTTTACCGTGCCACACGTACACCTCACTGCCGAAGTCAAACACCAACACCTGCAGCGTGTAAACAACAACAAACACAAGACGAAAGCACGAGTGAGTTTTCTTTTGTTATTCCATGTATGCCTCTTCAAGCAAAACGTGTACAGGGCTAATGAATATCTAGGTCCTGCAAGTGTTTAAAACCCATTTATTTGTGTATGTACTGTAAGACCACATGGAGAATAATTAACATAAACAAATAGTACAATGAAAAAAAAATCTTAACTTGTCTAAAACACCGACAGCATTTAACATAAAAACACGTATCACAACAAACGGCACTAATATGTCAATAGATTTAAAAGGCCGTAACATGTTCCATCATTAATATGCAGAGCACTGATTTGTGTTAGCCCCGCTGTCCTGAACTCATTTCATTTCCTCCGCAGCTTCATCAGTGCACAGATGGATGCAGGACGTGCTCGCCATGACACCTGCTGTTGCTAAGCGACAAAATAAAACCCAGCTCGAAGCAAAAAAACTATTGATATTCAGAGCTTGGTCCTCTGGAGGAAAAAGTCACCATGTCATTATAACATAACAGGATGTAAAGTTAAGTATGTAAGAGCTCTTGTTTTGATGCTGCGCTACATTCTTGTTTTCAGTTAATAGGCTTTATAACTAGGTTTAAGTACAAACACCACGCCTCAAACACATCCAATTTCCGCACACTAAGGCGTTTAATCTCCCCATATCTGTTTACTTCCTCTTTGATTCAGTTTTCACATCCCTCAAACTCTCTCCCTCTAATCTCTCTTTTGTTTGAAAACAGGAACCACTGGGGGCACAATCTTAATCAGATTACATGAGACGGCTCCCCCTTCTCCCCCTTCTCCCTCCTATCCTCCCATCTTCCCACCTTCAGCTGACACTCATCACTCTCTTCATCCATCTGTCCACGACTCATCATCATCATTGTGGCTCTCCTACAGCTTCTATTTGAAATGAACTCTCCTAAACCCATATCCTTATAGAGTTGTGCACTGATGACGTATTTTTTTAGGCTGACCTTGAATTTAGCTACGCAACGGCGCCCTCGATTAAAAACAATGGGATTATTCCATTGCCTTTTGTAGCAAAAATTAAGATCTGTGGCACATGTATGATACTTAAATGTTTTGTTCAGCAGGAGAATCTCCACATATTAACACCACTTCTATAATAGGTGAAGCGTGAATGCAAACAAATGAAGTGAATAGTTAATGTTAGGCTATAAACTAACTAGATCACGCTCGCATGACTTCACGTCACCACCGCTAAGGTAAAGGCGGCTAATGTTGAGCCTGATGACATTTAGTAGTAACATTTAGCCACTTGTTAGCAACTGTTGTTAACCACAGACCTTATTTCACTCATCTAACCAAAAGCAGGTTAAAAAAAACAGTTATTGTGCTTTTTAATTATTGTTTTATTATTTTACTCCCATTGTGTTATTTTATATTGTATTTATTCCCTGTACAGCACTTTGGTCAACTGAGGTTGTTTTTAAATGTGCCATATAAATTACATTACATTACATTACATTACATTACATTACATTGCATTACATTACATTGCATTTAGCTGACGCTTTTATCCAAAGCGACTTACAATACGTGCATTCGACCAAGAAGATACAAACTTGAAGAAAACAGAATCATATAAGTACATCAGGTTTCATCGAGCCAAAACATTTCAAGTGCTACTCAACTGGTTTTAGATAAGCCAGTCCTTTGTTAGTATATAAGTGCTTTATAAGTAATTGTATTGCTCGAAGTGGAGTCGAAAGAGATGAGTTTTTAAATAAAGATTGAGATTGACTTTGAATCAAGGGATTCATAAAATAATTTCTAATTTCCAGGTTTCAGGACTCATTCCTGCACCACTCTTTTGACTATAATCTAACCCAGGTTGAAAACACTGACCTCCTTGGCGGCCAGTAGAGAGCTGCGAGGGACCTTCCCCCACTCTTCATCATCAGGAACCAGTTTGTCGTCCAGCAGTCTGAAGATGCAGTTTGTTTCTACAATGGCATTCTCAAACTGCTCATCTTCCTCTGGTGGACCGGCCGCTATAAGCACAATCAGAAAGACATCTCAGTGTGCATGCATCGGAAAGGGTTAGCAGGGTATCTGTACAATTCATAGATGTGCTGTATACGGAGAACTAGATACAGCGTTGAAGAAGAGACACATCCATTACTAATCCAGAGTGGAAAAATAACTCTGGATTTGGCTTTTACCAACATTTAGAACTTAAAGAGCCTAATGATTTAAATCAGGGCTGTAAAAGTGTTCATTCTGGGTCGTTTATTTGGCAACATTTATTTTTAAGACTGATTTACAGACATCTTTTTACCATTGTAAGTCAATGGGAAAAGTGTTTTTGGGCCTCAATAACGGCACATGACTGAAACTGAAGTTGTAGTATCCCCCTTTGGCCACTACAACTACTACTGTGTTTCGGGATGGGTACCGAGCCCCGGTATTAAACGGGCCCCGGGGCTGAATTATTAAAGACCGTGGTACCGTTAAGCTCCGACGTTATCGGTCTTTTTATCGGTACTGGAGACATTTAAAAAATATATGTCATATGTATTATTGCTACACAAACATTATATTGCAGTTTTAGTGTTGCCAACTCCGTTTCCATATGCAAAAGGACAGCAAAATGCGTCTATGATTATTTTTTTAGGATTTTCGATCTTTCCAATCCAGACGAGAGATCTCTCCCCCCGTCTGTGTGCGAGGGGGCGGGGCAGTTGACACACACGCCGCTGCTACATGCAGCAACACACACACACGGAGGAGATGGCGGAGAGAACGCGCTCCGAGGTGTGGTTCAACTTTACCCGTCTCGATGTGGACAATGCTCGTTACCAAAAGTGCAATAAGAGTTTAGCATGTAAGGGCGGTAACACGAGCAATTTGTTGAAACATCCACATTCAGACGGAGAAATGCACCGGGTTCGACTGTCTTTCTAGTAGCTCTGTAGCCCCATCCACGAGTAACGTTTCCACGTCAGGTATTATGTATGCTAGCAGCAACACACAGACTTAACTCAATTATACAAACATGGGTTAATGATTAGAGGTAACTGAGTTATTTATGTTGTTAAAGTTTCAGCTATTCTGTTTACAGTTCTGTCATCACATTATTTAATACGATTTGTTAAAACACTGTTGTTTCTTTTGATGTGAAATATTATGTATTTAATTTAAATAAAAAGCAATGTTAGTTTTGTTCACAATTTGTTTAGTTAGTTAACCTTATTTCTTTCGTTAAAAGTACCGTTAAAGGACCGGATCGATAAGCGGTATCGATAAAAGTAGTAGTACCGTTCAAACCTTAACGATACCCATTCCTAACTGTGTGTATTACTGGACATAAAATACACACTGCTTTCACACACACATGTAAATATATCTAATATGTATATACAACCGAATATGTATGTTCATTTTAATTAATTTCTTATTTTATAGTTATTTTATCATTTTTATGTTGGATTTAATCTTTAATTGTATTAATCTTTGTGAATCTGTGCTGTCCTGTTTTCCATTCTTACCCTGTTGCTGTTAGACTACTGAATTTCCCCACGGGGATTAATAAAGGTCCATTTTATCTTATCTTATCTTATCCTACAACAATATACTTTAACTCCCGGCTCACTTTAAGAAAATCCAAATGGCTTGCTAGACATTTTGAGAGCAACAACTTGATCCTTCTTGTGCGATCTGATCATTAAAGGCTCATGTCTTACGTTGGTAGGCGGTCTGTCCTCCGAGGACGGTCCAGAACTGCTGGGCCTCTGCAGCCTGAGGGTTGGCTGCTTCCTCGATGGTCAGCACCTGGGTCGCCCGGCAGCCCATGTCCTTCTTCGTCTGGATGAAGGTGGCCATATCTTTGGCCTGCAGACAGGAAACCAAGATGTTTAGTTTGGCAACAGAGACACTGGTGATGTCTGTTTGCTGTGTGCCAGATTCTGCGTCACATTTATCCACACATTTGGACAAAAGGTACGATTTAACAACTGGGTCAGAAACTGAGGACAAAGTGATGATGCTTTAAATAGACTTTGCTGAATCATGATCAAATGATTATCAACACTGAGCAAGGAGGAGTTTATTACAAAGCGTCTAGACACATCTCCTCTGGGGAAATGAAAGAGATGTAGCCTGGGAGCGTGTGTTTGAAAAGGAGGATGGGCCTATGTGGTTAGTGTGTGTGTTAATGGAAATGAGAGGCAGAATTGTTTATGACTCATCTTTGTCTAAACACTAAAACCCAGTAGCATTGATTCTAGACATCCAAACTAATACTCTTTCTAAGTCTAAGGCACCGTATCTAATGATTATTAATGAAAGATATAATAACGTTTTTAGAGCCCACCTTCGACTTCTCGATAACGTTTGAGAACTCTCCGATCCAGACGAAGCAGTGATCTGGAGTGACCAACAGGAAGCAGTCGCCGCTGTTCAGCGATGAGGCTCTGGGCTCCACTAATCTGGTCTGAATGTGACGACGACCTGGAAAAAAAAGTCATACCTTTCAGTTCCTTTACAGAATATCATCTCTAACACATTTATGAACATGAACACATGTAGTGAAAAAGGCAAAGAAGCATATATGATGGATTTAAGGTTTGGGAAATACATTCATTTGCTTTTTGGATTCTTTCAGTTTGGGAAACAGCATAAAGCTCATCTAGACTTCAGTATGGATTTGTATGGACGTGTCACAGTAAAGAGCCAAAGTCCATCTCCCTCTCTTTTTTCTGAACAACATTTTACGTTAAATATTGCAGTACACATTTTTTATTTAATTTGTTATGTTTACAGTATATAAATCGTTTTATTTAATTGGATCTTTTATTTGAAATCCAACTTAAACTTCTTATGTTTTTATTGTATTTTTGTATTGCACATTCCTTCTTTTTTTTATATAAATATTTGTATATGTAGGAAATTTTTATTTAATTATATTCTAAATTCGAGCCACTTTCAAAAGAAACCAATTTTTTTAATTCTGATTTAAAGGTGGGGTAGGTAAGTTTGAGAAACCGGCTCCAGATACACTTTTTGTTATATTCCATGGAATGCTCTTAACATCCCGATAGCAATGAATATCTTAAGTGCTTTGACAAAAAATCCATAACAAAATGTCATCTGTGGAAGCCGTAGTACTGTAAAAAGCACAACCAATCATTTTAGCCGGCCCGGCTAAAATAACTGGATGGCCTACCTGCCTGTCAGCCTTCCATCTGTGCACAAACTTATCTCGTGCCCTCATTGGTCATGTGCGCGTTCGTGTGTGTTGGAGGAGGGGCTCTGTAAGGAAGTGGCAGATTTTTTCCGACTGTGTATTTTCAAATTCTAGCGATCTCGAGCTGGTTTCTCCAAAATTACCTACCCCACCTTGAAGCCTGAAAGTGATATATTAGTTTGTTACCTTTGAGCTGCATCAGCATGAGGTTCTTGTACGGCACAGCGCTGTTGTTGGACATCTGCTCGGAGATGTTGACGCTGCGCAGACTCACGCTGCTGAAGTTTTCTTTACTGGCCAAACCCGCCAGAGCAGCCTCCGAGTACTCAGAGGATTTATTAACTGAAATGAGAACGAGAACACATTTTATGAAAAAAATAGTCCTACAGGGGGAAAAAAATACAACATAAATGCTTCATTAAACTTTAAAGAAGCTAAACCCCCTTCTGTAAACACCGCTTCAGAAGTGGGTCATATGAGCCTGTATTCCAATTAGGGATGTTTACCCAATGAAAAAAAAATAGATGTAGTTTTGTAGGCTGTAAACAACGATGATGTTCCTGGTTTTCCACTGGGACTTGTGACATCAAACAACATGACAAGGATGCAAGTCTTAAAGTCTCTTCCCCCAAGTCACAGACATGTTTATACACACCTTCGGCCTCTCGTTTACGCTCGCTCTTCTCCGCCTTCATCCTCTTGCTCTCCAGCTGAGCCACGTTCAGCCTCTGCTCCGTGTACTCGTGTCTGATGTCCTTTCTGGCCGCCAGCATCTTCACAGGGTTTCTGGACGCTTGCACGTTCCTGGACGGACGCACCGAGCGCTTGTGCTGCACCATCGCCGACGTCAACCTGGAGCGGGGAAAAGGATGTGCAAGAGTGGTGTGTGAAGTTTATATTAGATATTTTCTGTAACTGCAGGGGAATACGGTTACAGTATTTCAAAGTCAAAGTCAACTTTAATGTCAATCTTACTCAGTTTGTGTTTACAGACAGAGAGATCGAAATGACGTTTCCAACAATCCCGAATGTAAAATTATACAGTATACAGATATGTGTATCCTATATACACAATCAACAGACACAATATACATTTTGTAATATAATTTATTTACTATTATTATTAAGCCCTGAGAGTAGGCTACCTTCTGACACATATGATAATCTACAATAATATCAGGGGGGTTATCATCCAACCATCTTGGTAATATTGTGAGGTGTGTAGGAAATAAAGCGTACCTGTGTTTGCGTTCATAAACACAGTCTAATCCAATAAACAAAACTATATGGATTTAGAGTTATGTATATGCGAAATACTTTCACCGAAAAATAATCTGTCTTTTCCTTTAGCCCTATATCTATTATCCCTACTCTTTCCTCTCCTATAAACATTATCTGTGACTTTTCTATATTCACCCTAGCTCCTGGTGCCCTACCATACAATTCTACACCCTGACACTTTCTCTGCCTTTAGCTGTAATGGTGGTATCGTCTGCATACTGATAAACTAAACCAACCCTCCCCCCTGGTACCTCTACTCCTCTGATGTTGCTGTGTTGCCGCTAGGCGCTCTGCTGACAGCGCATACAACATGGCCGAGTGAGGGCATGTCGTTCAAACTCTCTTTGAATTGACCAACAAAAGCTTTATTATGTTCTTACTTTGGACCCTGAGAGCCAAAGATGGCGTCAAAGTCCTCACTGATCTCGATCCTGGTGGGCATGCGTGGGAATTCGGCGACGCGTCTGTAGAACTTGGAGAAGATCTCGTCATCCAGCTTCATTACTTCCTTCACTGCCATCTCTGTGACTGTGATGGTGGTTTCCTGCAGACCGGCCACTGATCGAAGAGAAACACAGAAGAAACTATTTTAGGCTTTAAAAGAAAAACAAAACAAGGGTAGAATTTGACAAAATAGCAGGAATGCACGCTCTTGAAAAACCTACAAGTTAAAAAGAAATTATATTTGTTTCAAGAGGACAATAAACATTGCTTTATAGACTTCAGGTAATGCAAGTTTATTTGTTTATTTATAAAGCACATTTTAACACAGGGAGTGCTTTACAAAAAACCATTATAAGCATTAAAATAGATTGCAACATTTAAAAACAGACCTTAAAGGTACAGTAGGGTAGGTAAGAATGGAGAAACCAGCTCGAGTGCACTAGAATTTGAAAGTACCCTCTTCCTTCAGACTTCCTTACAGAGCCCCTCCTCCAACACACACGAACGCGCACATGACCAATGTGGGCACGAGATAAGTTTGTGCACGAGATGGAAGGCTGACAGGCAGGTAGGCCATCCAGTTATTTTAGCCGGGCCGGCTCAGATGATTGGTCGTGCTTTTTACAGCGCCACGGCTTCCACAGATTAAATATTTTATGTATTTATTGCTATCGGGATGTTAAGAGCATTCCATGGAATATAACAAAAAGTGTTTCTGAAGTGAATTACCTACCCCACCTTTAAAGAGCCAAGATAGTACAAATAAAACAAGCTAAAATAGAGTAGGACAGGTATAAAATACAAGAATAAGAGTTACAGTGCGGTGCTTAATAGCAAGAAGTGCATACCTTTGCTATTCAGACGTCCCAAGAAGCTCTCCAACTTGTCAAGTTTCTTATCCGTTTCCATGTCCGGTCTGGCCTCAATTTCTATAATTAAAATACATCAATCTTACTTATGGTGCATACAAGATCTGTTTATCTTAAACTAACAAACAAATGTACATCATTTTGTATTTTTCAACCTGTTTTCAAGTTGAATGTTTTTAACATATCATATAGATCTTATCGTATAAGCTTAAAAGTAAAGTCAAGTAAAAGTCAAGTCCACTCCTGTCGCTAAAACATCAATGAAAATGAAGTTCATTCAGGTTTAAATCACAGCTGTTGATAAACTGGGATTTCTTTAGCAGAGGTTTCATGAATGACGAAGGACTTAGACATCTGTCTCACCCTCTTGTGGTTTGTTGACAGCCGGCGCGCTGCTCTTGAGTTTGGTGGAGACCGGTGACAGGATGGGACTGATAACTGAGGAGGAGGCTGCCAGGCCTGCGGACACACGGACACACATTCAAACCAGATACATATTATTTTACAATATAATATAAAGAGGGGACATTTACGTTGTCACAGCAGAAAAGAGCCAAAGACAGCTTAATGTTACGTAGAAGCATGCTTAAAAAAGTATTAAAGTAAAAAAGTTATAATATAATAAAAAGTTACACAATTTAAAAAATACACATCCTGTAACAGTTCTTAGGATTTAGCAGCCAGGTATATATTGCCGTTATTAACGGCATATATATACACATATTGCACATATTGCTCATAGTTGGTTGGTATTTAACAGCAAGGGGTGTTATAGTCTGTGTTGTTGTGTGTGGGGGGGTCTTGTTTGTGCATAACAATCATATCCAGTAGCCTTTTAAAATGGTGAACCCCTCATAAAGTTGGATGGGTTAAGACAGAATGGAGCTCTGACCTTTCTTGACCATTCGAGAGGCGACGGTGTACTGGGTGGAGTCGTTGGCTGCTCCTTTGCCCTTAGTCTTCCAGGCATCCTCTCGAACAGAAATCATCTGTTTTCTCTCCTCAATGGACGTCTTGGCCTCGATGTCCTCTCCCACCTTCTGCACAGACAATTAAAGTGAGAAAAACCATCAAGTTATTAAAGATTTTAAAGCTGCACGTCTTTCATGCAACGCAATAAACTCTGCAAGGCCATTTTATGTCAGAGACATTTCCTACACACGTGAAAGTGCTGCATTAAAACTTCAAACGAGATCATGGAGCCAAATCAAAAAGCTTCCAGACACCACTTGATCCACTTTGAGTCAGAGAAGTACACCGCCTCTCACACAGCTTCACATTAACTTCATGTGACTCCACGCTTCTTCCCTCGGGAGCGATTATTCATGAAGTCACAGTATCTAACCGAGCAGATATAAGGAGATTTGATACACTCGAGCGGGCTATCTGCATGTCCTATCTAGCTGATATGAAGTACTTTATTCTACCGTAGGAGCGATGGATATACACTGAGATCAAAGGAACAAACAAAGCAGGAGTTTAAGACTCCGGTACATGCAGCGTGCCAGGTGCATGTCCTTACCTGACTATGATGGTCAATATACTGACACTTTTGACCGAGGGATATAGTAGGAGAAAAGGTGGAAGAGAAGACAGGTTCCTGAGGATGTAGAGGTAGATGGAAAAGTGAAAGAAAGGAAAGCAAAGGAGGAAATGATGAGCATGCAGATGAAGGAGGATAAGGGAGGGATGCAAAGGAGGAGAAGAAGGCAAGAAACTGGAAATGTAAAATGACTCGCTATCTGTCTGTAAAAAGCAATGGATAATGTACGAACAAAATAGTTTTATGGTGTTAATCATTCATTTTCTCATAGTTTAGATATTTTTATATGTTCTTTATAGTTAAATGTGTGTTTGTTCTTTTTAAAAGCTTTGTTATCTTTCCAGTTTTTAGCTGTTTATCTATTTCTGTGTTGGTACATGTCAATTATTCGTATGTTTGTACACATACTTTGCTTATAAAGTGGATTCTGATTATTTAAATATGTTTTTTTGGAACAAACAAACACCATTTTGTTATCTCTGAGAAATAACTAAAGCCTTCCAAACGTAAAATGGTTTGCTTGTGAATTAAAACACTGTGCTTCCCCAAACCAAAATGCACTTCAAATCATTAAAGGCCATTGAATACAATTTCAATTCTAACTGTTAGGCCTAGTAGATAAATCAGCAAACTGCGAAAGCCGATTCCCCCTCTTGTATTTTGTAAATAGAGACGGGAACAGCTTGTTCACAGAAAGTCACATATTAAATTACTGGTGCGGTGAAAACACAGCTCGAAGCTCAAAGTACATTAAGTAATGACCTCAAAGTGTTATATTTACAGATCAAATCTATAGCGGTGTTTCATAACATATTTTTACCTCCTCAGATTCTTTAATTTAAATATGCTTTTAACAATGTAATACTTACAGGCAAACAGCAACAATAAATGCCCTTAAAAATGAAAATAATACTATATATATATAATTTTAACATCAGGATTGTCTGTATTATTTATTATTATTTTAGACATGGATTTTCTGAATTTTATTCTTTGAAACAGCTTTTTCCTCCTTTTGTTATTTTATATATATTTTTTAAGCCATGAAAGCAATGCAAAAGCAGCAGGAATGTGCGTAAAAACATTAGTTTTACACTTCTGTAATTACTTTTTTCTTTATAAAACTAAATGTGTGTGTTTTTTAACTGTTAAAATGTGTAGCCATCACAGAATATATATATTTTTTTGTAAGTAAATAACTGATGTTGCTGTCCACCGACATAAAAGTGAATCCAAGTGGTACAATATCTTGAAAGTAGGATTTATATAATTGTACAGCAGTTTTAACTGAATGTACAGTATGTATCAAAGGGCAAAACTAATTATATTCAGCCTTTGCATTACTGTATATCTACAAAGTTACTTAATCCCCCTTTAAGACAGAATCAGCAGATGTTAAGAAAGCTTAGAAAACTCCAGCATGCGCCACCATTTCGGACTGCAGGGTAACAGAAGAGCTCCCAAAAACGGACAGATTAAGGAGTGATCACACAAAGTCCACACAAAGCTGTGATTGGACGACACGAGTCCAGCACGCAGATGATTGGTTCACACCGGGTCTTACCCACAGCTGCTCAGACACAGACACAGCGGAGTATTCTTGAACGACCACCCCTTCCTCCTGAGGGGGTTTAAACACAGTGGAAGTTCTCGGTCAGGGGGAGAAAAAACGGGGAGGAGGAGAGGGGGCTTTGTTGATGTAATGAGTTTAAGGGTGAGACTGCCTGGAGGAGTACCATGCAGGGTTTAAACGGGCAGTTTCACCCAGCAGAATACTAATGTGCTGTAGATGAACTGCAGGAAAAACAGTCAATCCTGAAGCTCTTATATATGGATTTATACCTGCTGTTGTAGTTGTACATAAATACACCTTTAAAGCATTTTCTTTCTGTCAAATAATCTTTTAAAAACAGCATTTACTTTTATACGCTGCCATTAAGAATTGAAATTTGCTTCCAGCTGAGAGTAAAACATGCACAGACTTTTATTTTTCTCCAAAAAGTGCAAAAACAATGGATATTTAGCAACCAGTCATGTCAACAGTACTTCAGTTTTAGTTAAAATGAATACTATAGTTACTAATAAATACTCTGGTATTTATATATTGATGTGTATAACTCTTGGTGTTATACGTAAAGTTTGAAGTGTTTGTTGATGTGTGTACCTGACAGATGGAAATCAGCTAATACCTACATATTCTCTTCTCTTTGTAAGATAATAGAGACGTGATGATAAAATAAACGTAGCCTTGAGCCTAATCTTTTCAAAGAAAGGAGAATCTTTCCCCCAGACTGCTAATTCTACAGAGGCAGACAGTCCCATATGCTTCCTGGTTTACAGCCTATATGGACTGGATGCTGCTCTGATCTGGACCGCTGGGCTCAAACAACAGATGGACCAAAGGAGGAAATGAAAGCAGCACTTAGCTAACGGAGTATTGACAGGAGCTGCCATGGCAACCAAGAGGGATGGGCAGTGAAATGTGGCTAAAGCTGTTCAACCAGCACTGATCACTTTAACTTGACCTGTGGTTCAAAGCATTTTGTCTTTTTTACTCGTGTTAGATTGCATATTGTGACTATTTAATTGATTTCTGTTTTTGTTACCTGCCTATGAACTATGGTTGTAGAATTAGCATTTTAGCTAACTGTAGCATTTTTATGGTATGCATTTTTTACTGATTTTAAGAACAATGTGCCTATCAAATAAATAAATAAAGCCAGAGGTTTAACTGTTTTAAGAGAACCTAGAAAAGCGCTATATAAATTAATAAATACATTCAGGGTCCCGAAAGGTCAATACAACATTTCCAACTCATTCCTACTGGTTATTATAACATATAAACATCTTTACTGCAGAGATTTCAGGGATCTCCACCTCACACAGTTTTACAATGGCCTCCATTAGAACAAGCAACATACACTTGCAGCTCTTAAAGAATTCCAATGAATGTGATATAATGTGATTTGAGCAATTGATGATCAGACTGACCGTGTTCTCGCTCGTCTGCTCTGACTCCCACAGCAGAGTCTGCTGCTCGGTGGTCGCCACTTTAACCACTTCCTGCTTCTTGTTGATCCTGTTCCTCCAGTCATCTTCACCACTCTTCTTCAGCAGTGCCACTCTGACAAAAAACAACAAAAAAAGTAGTAAGCAAGTAAACCCTATTCTGCTCATTTTCAGGTCTCATATCTGTGTTCTGTGTCTCTACTCTGACATGTCTCCATGCTTTAATGTTCAAAAAGCTCTTTATTTTTCTCATACTGCCTGTGCTGCAGCACCTCTTTTCACCCTCTGTCTGAAACCAGAGCCCAGTCTGCTCTGATTGGTTAGCTGACCGGCTCTGTTGTGATTGGTCAACCTCTTATGCCCCATTCACACCAAGGCTTTTCCCGTTCTACCTCCGTGCTAGAGCTTTTCTGGTTCGGAACCGGTTCTTCAGTTCAACTCCCGCTCTGTTCACACCGCTCAGAGCCCGACTGGTGCTGCGTCATCGTTTGCGTCATGACGTAACCGTTTGCGTGCCTGCTTCATAAAGCCAAACCGCGCGGAAACCCCTCACATCGACAACAACAACAATGACCGATTGTATTGAAGCGCTACTCGTTTTGGTTTTGCTCTGTCGAAACGAAATGGAAGAAATGGGACGACTTTACTACCAACTTTACAGTCGTTAAATGCTACATTCAAAAGTTCTTTACAATCATCATCATCAACTTCAACGACGATTCCGTAGGAGAAAGAAGGTAAATATACGTCCTATTCGATGGCGTTAGAGCTAGCTGTTGTTAGCCTCTGCATGCGCCAAGCTCAAAATACCCAGCTTTGCAGCATTAATTACTATGGTATAACATTAAAACTGATGCCCCTGCCCCCGCCTCCGACGTAAGCGTGACATATGCGGTGCTTGCTTTCTAGACCGACAACTTTTTGGTGCTTGAAACGAACCGGTGTGAACAGGAAAAAACCGTGCTTTTCAAGCTCTAGCTCCGAACCGGCCCTGGAACCGCGTTGGTGTGAAAGGGGTATTAGAGATGTCCCGCCACTTAGCCTTATCAAGTACAATGTGTCGGAGCGCTAGCCAATAGGAGCGTGAGTATAACGTAGTGATGTCAGCCTTAGGCTTACATATCCAGCTCAGTAACACAAAACAATCGTGAATTCTTTAGGCAGGTGGCCAACATCTTTAACATTTCAAATTCGACATCAGGGAACATTGTCCATCCACTAACATGTATGAGAACAGGACCAGCTTTTTCTCAGCATTACTATGGGAGTTTATTCTAGGGATAGATAAAAAAAACAAATAAAGGGAACAATTACTGTAATGCAATTCCTTTATTTGCCTGACAGTAAGGAAAATAATTATTCAAGAGTGAAAATTAGGTCAGAGATTTGAAGGATTGCTATAAAAAACGGACTCCAAAGTGGGCAACGATAACGTACGGCTGAGGGGTAAAAAGAAAGTGTGTCAACCTCTCCGCTGCCTGAGTGTGGACAGGGCAGGAATGAGGGCATTAGGAGGAACCCCAGAGGATTTCTCCTCCAGTCCACACAGCTGCATGGGCGGAGGAACACATTGTTGCTAAAAATGAATCTCCCTCACCTCTAAAAATGTAAGAATCAAACCTACATACTGCAAGGACGGGGAGGAAGTGCCTGATTCTGTCAAACGCTGCACATTAATCATGCTGCAGTTCAGTGTCTGATCTCTGCTAACATCGCAGGTTTTATCTCGTAAAGCGCTGAGCTGTGACTGGTCGCTGGATCTGTGACTGGAATCAGGGTTCATTTGTGCCTGCAGCTTTGCTAAGCATTAGGTTTTAAGAAGCACCTTAGGGTTAGGGTTAGGGTTAGGGTTAGGGTTAGGGATTGACCTTGATTTTGAAAACCCTGTTCTTCTATGGAAATGTGCAGCTGACTGAGAGTCCTTGTTATCCCAACAGGAAAGTATTAGGTTAGGTTAGCTATTATGTCTCTCTATGTCTATATCTTGAACAACAGCTGAACATCTGTTATATCTCTTTTATGTCTCATATGACTCCTAAAATGGACATATACCAACCATTTCTTTGAGACAGATAGACCTTCCACTAAGACTAAATGAGTGTCTTCACACAGATTTAATCTTACATGCTAAAAGGTATGTCTTAGGGACTGGTTGCCTTCATAAGAGATGAGCTACTGTTGTTCAAATCAGTACATTTTTGACAGGGAGAGAGGAGGAAAATGCAGCACAGAGGCAGACAGAGCCACATTTAGACTGGATAAGGTAAAAATAGCCTACAGCCTACTATTACATCATTATTATTCAGCTTCTTATCACCAAATCATCCTGTTTCCTCTTAATATCCCTAGTCCCAGCACTGCTCTGCAACCCAGTGAAGGGAAAGGTGAAAAACATTTGCAGAAATTCACTGTTCAAATCCAATAAGATAAAATAACACCAAACTAAATCAGCCCTGTTTTGCGAGGCATTTCATTTAGTCTTAATATACATTATTTAATGTTATATTCTGTTCTTGAACATATCCCATATTCTATTGACATGTATATAGAGTTGTATTTTTGTATTTTATTATATATGTTGCATTGTTGGAGGAGCTCAGGTCAGAAGAATTTCATTGCCATTTCCACACGGTAGCTTTGTGCATATGACAATAAAACCTTTGAATCTTTGAAAACAATGTCAGAAAAGAGTGCTATAATTCCGAAATGCTGTTAAATCAGTGTTTTCGACCAATCTGGAAAATCAACTGACCAGCACTGTATTTTATAACATCCATCATCCATCATTTCCACTCACCTCTCCCTGATGGACATCTGTTTGGCGGACATGCTTTCAGAAAGCAGCTCTCCAGACTCTGTGGGGGACAGCAGATCTCCAGAGTAGTCGCTGAGCCTGTCAAAGTCCTCGCTGTGGTCCAGGGGGAGGGACTGGGACTTGACCAGCGCCTGGGGGAAGGACTGGGGTTTGGGGGGCGTCTGAGGAGGCACCTGGGGTTTGGTGGCTGTCTGAGCGTAAGGCTTGGGGAGAGGCTGGACGAATCCTGGAGGTTTGGGCTGCGTTTGTGGGGACTGAGTGATGGTTTTGGGGAGCGTTGGTGGGGGCTGCGACTGGATGGTGACCACAGGTTTGGGGGGTGTTGGAGGAGGCTGCTGCGGCGTGAACGTTTTAGGAAGAGTTGGAGGTGGCTGGGTTTGCTGCTGGCTGCTTGAGACGTGAGACACTGTCCTGGATGAGACTTTAGCGATCAGTGGCTTCAGGGGAGCGGGATGATCGGGCAAATCTGAAAGAAAAAGCAACACGGGTATAAGCATGAGTGAACTTCAAAGGTAAAAAGTGATTAATGTGTTAATAATGACACCTACAACATTATTAATATTCCTTTCTCTCATTCTTTACATTCTTAATTTGACAATAAGTGCTTCAATGGATGTCTCATGAGGGAACCAGGGTTTTTCAGTTCATTCCACTAAGGTTTATAATGGCTCTGATGCCTCACAAAGTTATTTAAATTCAAGTTCTTATTAGCAAGCCTTTGGGAACAATTCGGTGGGTTTTAATATTGAGAGTGATAGACTGAAGGCCAATCTCTGACATGCAAGTTATCCCATGCTTGTACTCATAAACCAAAGTACTGATAAGAATACCAGCCAAAGTAAAGAGCCCTGTGTGGGTGTACAACTGTACATAACAGTATACTATTTTCAGCAAGATGAAGCTCACTTAGATAATGTTTCACACAACTATTTTTCAACTTTAGTTAGTCAGTTAGCACAAGCTAATGCTCCAACATCTGATATTTATTATTTACTATTATAAGTGGAATTAAAGTCGTGAGAGATGCAACAAACGTCCTTGGGATGTCGGGTTTATGGCCATTCTCTTAATCTCTAAATAACAGTATTGCCATTCAAATGTGAATGTTTGTTGCATTTCTTTTTTGTTAACCATGACCTGTTTTATCAGGACTCATCCCTGAAACAAATGTGTGCCCTGGCATGCATAGTAAACATTTTGTGGGGCTTTTAACACATAAGGCGCTTTCACACCAAGTACTTTGCCGTACTTAGTTCCCAGTACTTAGTTCATCAGAACTCTTTAGTTCTCATGAACTTAGTACAGATCGCGTTCACACCGGAATAAGTTCCCTGAGGGAGGATTAGCCAAATGAAGCCGCTGACGTCACTTCTTCTTCTTCTGCTTTGGGTTTACTGGCAGGCCGCAAACAATTTCACGGCGTATACTACCACCCGAAGTCCCCGGCCGGAAGTCCCCGGAGTTGCCTTCCGAGTAAATCGCCAGAACGCCGACACCTCCTCATCACTCCACCGCTCCCATGTTATTTTTTTGTGTTGCCATAAGTTAGTCTCTCTCCGTTGGTGCGCTGGGCTAATGCTAATGCTAATAATGCTAATGCCAGCAAATACAATGGCGGCTTCACAAAACCTTTCGGAGTTTTACGGGGCGTGGTTTGCAATCCGCCCAGCCAATCAGAAATGGGAACCTATTTCTCCCATGAAACTCCCAAAGTACTCCGGTGTGAAAGAACGATGGTAAAAAGGGGGTGAAAAGGTTCTCATGGACTTTTTTGGTGTGAACGCAACATTTCAAGAACTATCGGAACTATACTGGGAAAAGTACTCCGGTGTGAAAGAACGATGTTCCCAATGAGGGATGCACATGTTCCCATACTGATAGCAGATATTGATTGCTTCACCAATAATATTTATGGCTACTTGTGATAAATGAGTTGTGATTTAAGGCTCATTTTATGAAGTTAAACTACTTATATACTAGTTGCTTGTGCAGGATTTTTTTAATAACAAATTAATATTCTGTAAATCTATTAATCTATTTTATTTTCAAAAGTTAGGAAAGCAGTTTAAGTCAAGTCTGATGTTGCTTTACACATAAAAGAAGTACTGATAAAGACTTGTGTTAAGGTCAGGGTGAGGGTCAGTCAGTCAGGGTTAGTCGTGTAGTGGTATGTCTGCAGGGAATTAGTATAAGTCCATGCAGCTCCTTCAGCCTCATGATACTATAGTAATGAATAGACTCAACTTTAGTGAAGATCTACCCATGCAGCACTAAACAAGAGTTCAGCAAGCAGACAAGGCATCCATTGTGTCCTCCCTGTCCTCTACCTGCTTGAAGTAAGTGCCGGCCAATTGTTCTGCACTCTCTCTCTGAGTGCTTTCAATTTGTGTGCACTGTTTGTGTGCACGCATGGGGAAAAAAAGACCACCCCCTGGACCCATTCTGCATCAGCTCATAAAACCAGGTCAGGCCCATCATACTGTAGTATATGTGCAGGGCTAACCCACAGGCGTAATATGGTGCACATCGGGGACCACAGCCCCTTTTATAGGCCATGACAGTGAGCACACACAGTTTGATTTAAACCATCTCTGGCGTCAGGAAAAAAAAGGGGGCTTCCTCTTTCTAGACAAAGACAGCCACGAGGCAAATGCATGGACAAATATGCTAATTAGATGCAGCTTCAGACATCTCTCTATCAGCCAAATCAAACACCTCCAGCTGGGACAAGTGTGTGTGTGCAGCCGGCAGAAAGCTATGATGCGTGGGAGCATGCTGCATGAGACAATGAGGATAATGAGAACACCCCCGTCCCTAGACACTGCTTCCTTTTTTTGTGTCACTCCCTTTCTCTTGTTCCTTTCTGTCCACTCTTTTTCCACACATCCTTGCTTTAGCTGTTCACATCTCTTTAATAATCTCCCCCCCCCCCCCCCCCCCCCCCACTGTCTCCATCTCTTTTTCCTTCTATCTCCTACCTGAGATGCCTGGCTGGCTCCGGCCGCCGCTCCTCTCCTGCTCCTGTGTGGAGGAGCTGTGAGCTGCCTCTCTCAGGTAGCCTCCTCGTCCTCTTCCTCCCCCCTCCGCTCTCTCCCTGCTCTCCAGGGAGTGTCCTCTGTCTGCGGCTCTCCGGCTGGGCAGGGGCTCTGACTCTGCCCTCCACAAAGCGGAGTCTGAAGAGTGAGGCTGGGGATGCTGCCCGGTGTCCTGCTTTCCCTTAACGCTGCCGTCTTCTCTGGCTCCTCCTCCCTGCTGTCTCCCCCTGACCTCCTCCTCCTCCTCCTCCAGCGCCTCCCTGTGACTGACAGAGGATGTGGGAGCCAGAGGAGCCCCCACTCTCTGCCGGCTCTCAGGGAGGAGAGGGGAAGCATTGAAATCGGGCTCGGGGTGGCCGGGGTCCCCGCTCTGGGTCATGGAGAAATACCTCAACGCCCTCTCCTGGTGGATGCTGGTGTTGCAGGTCGCCTGTTGTTGGGCAGGGATGTAAGGGACCGCCGTGGACTTCCCTGGACGGAGATTGTCGTCGTTGTCTCCGCTGCCGGTTACTGTGGCGACGGAGGCTTGGGAGGCGACGGCTGCCACGGAGCGAACTAGGGACGCAGACAGAGGCTCCAGTTTGATCTCACCTCCGTTTTTCAGCTGCAGAAAGAACAGGAAACAAGTCAGATATATGAGATGGATAGAATGACTAAGGAAAGGAATTGATATGGAGAAGAGATATGGTGGTAAATCAGGGAATTTTTAGATGTATTCAGGTAGGTGTGGATGTTACAGAAGGTGGGGATGAAGTGGAATGACAAAGGTAGAAAATAAACTGATGGATGGACGAGAGGGAGGACAGCAGCAATCAAAAACAATTAGGGAAACATTTTGAGTAGTTGTACAGCAACTCTGTCATTCACAAAATGGCAGCAGGAAGCACAGATTTGAACACTAACTGAATCATAAAAAACTAAAAATACAAAGCATTTACCCTCCAGTTTACATCTGACATTCACTAGCTTAAATGCTGTGTTATTTAATGGTATCATTTGCTTTTTTCCTGTTAATATTTGATTGTTAACCAACTTTTCTTTTGATTTATATCATGGAGGGCATGGAAAAATGAGTACATTTTGAATATGTTAACTTGCATGTTTTCCATAAATGTGGGAATTGTAACTCTGGGGTTCATGCTAACTTACATCAGGAATGTCTAGATCAGGAAAGGTAATAACAAATGTTGATGTAACAGCATAAAGTAGCTCACGTCAAGTCGACTTAAGATGCTCCAACTCTGCCCCAGATTACTGTCAATTATTTTAGTTGCAATACAATGTCTATGTATTGACCCCTTACATGCTTTTTATCCAGATAAGCATTGATGTTTTTAGTGGAAATTGCATTCAGATTGCATTCAAATAATCCCATGCTTGCTCTGCAATGAGCAAGCATGTCAGAGAAGCTTCCTTATCCAAAAATGTGGAGCCACGGAAAACAAACAAGGCAGCCTGTTTTTCAAATTTCAAACTTTAAAATACACACTTTAAAATGGCATTTAAAGGGGACCATCAGGCTCAGCTCAGCGACTGTCAGCAAGACAAGACAACACCGGTCACTAGCGGGACCAGAGGTCAGTCAAAAGCAGATACATTCGATGCAACCAATCAGAAGCATCGTACAGGCATCGGAGGTCTTACATGTTGTCCCTGATTGGTCTTTAAGTCACCGTTACACACCTCAGTGGTGACTGGAGGATCAGCTTCCTGTGTGGACACCAGTGATTGAATACTGAGAATGTGGTTCAGGTGAAGACAACCTAATACGAAGCGTGTTTGGGTTTCAGTGCATATAGAATACCTAAGGAAGGATCGTCAATTCTTATCTTATATTTTGGTCCATTTGTGGACAATTTATCTGTGTTGCTGAGTCGATGCCACATTGGAGGATGTTTTGGCAATGTCAATGACAAAGTATCCCATCAACAATATATATGCTGTATATATCATGGGTTAGGGCAAATTCATGAATATGAGAATTGAGATTTACATTTTTTACGATCCTGAATCGATTCACAATTTCTAAAAGATGGTTTTTGATTATGTTGTTTCCTACAGAAGAATCTAGATATTGAGACAGTAATTCTAAACTCAAATACATGTGCTAAATTCTTTTAAACTAATTTGAGGATACATTTTGTCTCCGGAATTATAATTATTTTTCATTCTGATTTAGATAAAATTGCATGTTTTTTTTAATAAGATATTAGGAGAAATAAGGCCTTTCTTTGATTTTAATAATGTTCTTAATGTCCCTCAAAATTGAAATTGTAGTTATAAAAATGCAACTAAAATGTACAACAACAAAAAAAACAACATTGCTTATTTAAAACGTTTTTGTACCTGCTCCACCTCTCCCTGGGTGATGGGTTGAGTCTGAAAGCGGGCGTTGGCCCTGCGCTGGCGGGTGTCCCCTCGGGTCTCAGGGCTCTTTGCTGTTTGATGAGCGAGGCGATTGAAGAGGGCCATCTTCTCTGCCAAGGTGAGGGTGGACAGGTCCGGCTCGTCAGAGAAAAACTCGTGGCCATCGCCCTCCCCCCCGGCACCGGGAGCTGGAGCTGGTTTCTGGTTCTCCTGGGGCTCATTGGGCTCCTCGGGCTCTTTGGGCTCCGGACCCTGATCCTGGACCGCTGAGCCGGGCTGGGAGGAGGCCTTGATGCTGGGGGGAGACAGGGGGGATGTCAATGGGTTATTTTAGGGACTGGGAAGTTGTTATGTTTTATACAAATCACAATAATAAATGAATTTGTGATAATACAATTTCATTTTCATTTCATTTTTATTTGTTCCATTCATGGTATACACAACTTAATGTATAACAATTATTTGCAAAACATGTCTCTATAAACACACCATACCCGGAAAGGAACAGGGAGAAGAAAATAATCTTATATTACCTGCCCCTTTCTCATATGTTCTTATTCACAGCCAATCACAACAGTATCGTAGGAAAATAAGAGAAACACAAAAACTTACAAAAAAATACTTAGTTCCCACTTGACAGTTAACGGAAAGAAAGAAAAAAATTAAATCATATCCAACCATTAAAAAATGAACGCATTATTATCACCACCCCAGCTTTGGAAGGCAGAAATGTTAGATTTGATGCTTCTGAGATTTAAATACGTGATTTCTAAATTGCAACAGAGGATAACGTTTCTAAATTGAACCAATAGATTAGTTATGAGGTGATATGTATGTCCAGAATAAAACATCACATCTAACTATCTTTGACTTTGTACTTTCAGATATCATATTACATGGATGACCAAAAGGAAGATTACATTTGAATTTGAAACGGAATAAATGTAATCTCTTATTTCATGCACACCATGAGTCCTTGTGATGTCTTTGGGTCTCAAATACAAATATATTTCTCAGCTATAAATCAAATATTTAAACATCAGGGTTGCACATTATATATACATTTTTAGCAGTAAGACAAAACTGAGTACATATGTGTATGTTTATCTAACGCATAATTAAAGGTAGGGTAGGTAGGTACATTTGAGAAACAGGCTCGAGATCCCTAGAATTTGAAAATACACAACCGGAGAAAATCTGCCACTTCCTTATAGAGCCCCTCCTCCAACACACACGAACGCGCACATGACCAATGAGGGCACGAGATAAGTTTGTGCCCCGATGGAAGGCTGACAGGCAGGTAGGCCATCCAGTTATTTTAGCCGGGCAGGCTAACTTTTACAGTACTACGGCTTCCACAGATGACATTTCTTTATGGATTTTTTGTCAAAGCACTTAAGATATTCATTGCTATCGGGATGTTAAGAGCATTCCATGGAATATAACAAAAAGTGTATCTCGAGCCGGTTTCTCAAACTTACCTACCCTACCTTTAAGTACTATGGATATTCAACATCTCTATCGCATAGTTTCCTCATGCTGTACAGCACTAATGAACATGCATGCAAACACCAGCTTGCTGTGGGACAACAGTGGCAGATTACTGGCACAGCAAGGAGACATAAGTAGATTAGCGCACATATGCAAGATAATCATTTAATGCACTCTCGTGTTTACAGGGGATATGGCGATCTCTCAGCAGTGTGCTAATTTAAATCGACGCTGGTACACAAATCACAGGACATGTGAACCCAGACATTCAGAGTGCTTTAACCGGCTCAACTTCTGACCTTTCCTTAAGATATGTAACCTCTTGCTTCACCCACATTTGTGACCTGTGTGTCATGAACACAGCAGGAAGAGAATGCTTGGAAACTGGGCATGGAAAGCGGTAAAGGAGTAATCGTGTAAACAATGACTTCTTTTCCCTACAAGGTGCACAGTGCGACGAAGCAGCAGCACATGAAGGGGGCAGAAATAACAAGGTAAATTGAGCTGCATGAACACATCAGCTGTGCAGCCAGGAGAGGGAGATGGAGAGTGAAACACACTGTGGCATGTCCACACTGTTCAGAATAGGAAGAAATGACAAATGAAATATGAGGAAACAGGTGCACTGGCTCTGCCACTACATTTCAGTTGGTTACAATTCAACAATTTCCTTTTGTGGGACAAATATGCTGTAGGTGGAAAGGGAATGTCAAGATGAATAACTCATATTCTTTGGAAGCAGCTTCAGGTTTCTATTAGGGAGGCAGACAGCGTTCCACTTTTAAGAGTAGGCTAAAGACCTTCCTTTTTAATGAAGTCTAAACTGTAGTAGGGCTCTGGTTTCGGACAGAGGGTGAAAAGAAGTGCTGCAGCACAGTCAGTACGAGAAAAATAAAAACCGTATTTGAAAACAGCCAGTAGTGGCACAAAAACACATATGAACCAGAAAATGAGCATAAGGCATTTTTAAAACTGTAAAGCAGGGTTGGTTACAAGTCGGCTTTTTTGCTAACTATTATTATTTTTTTTGTTTTGAGCATGATATGTCTTTAAATGCATGGAATTCATTTTAAATAGTTAACATATGGACATTTTTCATTGTTGCCCCTAAAATGGAGAAATCTGGAACCAACTCTTCAAACATTATAAAGTCACAGAAACCTTCAGTGGTAAAACCTTCAGTTCACTCAAAGTTTGAAAGTATGGAAACATCTTCTCAGTGAAAGTGTGTGTGAAGGTGTGTATGTGTGTGTTAGAGTCAAGATCAGAGAACGACAGCTTTCCTCCATTATAGTCCAGATTCACTCTGACCCTCCGGGGCCTCGTCTGAACTGAGAGATCAGTGTCTGGAGGTGATGGAGAGGATGCTGTGTATCCACCTAACCAGTCAATACATATTCTCCATAATCCAGATTGTATGTCTCTCTTCCTATAGGCAGACTCTGCTAACACACCCAACGACCACCATGTACTGTCTCCAACCTGGACGTCCCAGCTGTGAGTCCCTGAGTCAAAGCCCTCAGATCCCAGGACACAGTCGTAGTTTTTCATCCTCTCTGGATTATCAGGAAGTTTCTGTCTCCCTCCTCGTCTCACAGAGGTCAGATCTTCAGACAGGATGAGTTGTAGATCAGCAGTGTTTGGGTCCAGGATGAGAGGAGAGTAGGGCACCATGTCCTTCATCTTGCTCCAGATGTTGAAGGTGAGGTTGCCCAGGTGTTTGGCCTGGTCTATCAGAGCTCCTGAGGGCAGCTGTGGATCCTCCAGTAGGGGGCGCTGCAGCCTCTCCACTGCAGCCTTGCAGTTGTGCAGGAAGGAGACGTCTTCATCTCTCAGCTCCTCCTCTGTGGCTCTGAATGTGTGTGAAAGAGCTGCTATCTCTCTGCTCACAGCCTCCATCTTCTCCTCCATCATCCTCCTCTTCTGCTCCCCTTCCTCCTTCAGTGCAGCCATCCTGGCCTCCTCTTCCTCTTCTAGAAACTGGTGAAGCTTCTTGAACTGCTTCTTGATCTTCAGCTCTGTGCGATGAACCTGGACCTTCAGGTGTCCTGCTGTTTGATCAAACTTCACTTTAACGCGTTCAAAGAGCTTCAGTTTCTCCTGTAAGGGCTGCAGAAACTTCTGGAGCTCCTCTCTGAGATCCTGTGCAACTTCATTGATGGGTCTGAATGTGTGGTCGGTGTGTTTATCTGAATCTCTGCAGACGAGACACACTGGCTGCTGATGGTCCAGACAGAAGAGTCGGAGTTTCTCAGAGTGCAGACTGCAGAGAGCCTCTGGAGATCTCAGATCTCTCTCCTGTAAGAAACTCTCACACAGGTTCTTTAACGTAAAGTTAGCAGGAAGTAAGTCCTTGGAAAATCGTCTCTTACAAACTGGACACTCCTTTCCTTCTTTCCCCGTCCACCAGCTCTGCAGACAGTCTCTACAGAAGCTGTGGCAGCAGGACAGGATGACAGGATCTCTAAAGATGTCATGGCAGACCGGACAGCTGAGATCTTCCTCTAACTTGGACGCCATTATTCTCCGGTTGAAGCTGAAAACTCGGAAGGCGTCTGTTTGCCTTCAACAGGAAATCAGTTCAACTTGATGATAATATATCCTCTTCACAACGTTGAGTCTCTGTTCTGTTGCAGCTTGTTGAAGTATCCCCTCCTTACCGTTACCTTCTGTGAGTGGACAGAGGTTTTGTTCTGCGGTGAATCTGACCGTGTCTCTTGGCTGTACAACAGGCGACCTTTGTCCTCTTGTTAGGAGCGTCAGGTGCGTCACATGAGGGCGGAGGTTTGCTCGCGCACTTGGAATTTGGACTTATTTTTAAGGATTTTTCTACCTTTTTTAATAGAAAGTAAAAAATGACCTGTCAGTAGAGGAGATTCATAAATATATCGTGGTGCAGTTTGTGTGGGTTTTGATATACCCTGGCTTCAGTATCACGTAACCTCCTGTTGTGTTTCTGAGGTCGTCTTTCCGAACTTTGCTCAGCCCTTTATCACTTTATGGTTTTATCACTCAGTTGCCTGTGAGGAAATCTCATGAAAAGGATAAGGAGACTTATATACTTATTTTATGTCGCTGTGGATAGAAGCATTAGCTAAACCAAATGTAATGTAAAGACACACATGAACTGTGTATGTTTAATATCTACTTTTGATCTACCGTGGCCCACAAACAGACACCTTCAGGATACAGAGAGATAAACATTGTTAACCAGGACAGATTGGTCCTGAAGGGAAAGTCCCAGTGGCTCAAATTATAACCAAGCTTTTATGTTGCCTGAAAAAAGACAAGAAAAACGGGGAACCTTTCAAATTTTGAGAAAAAAGTTCACATTTTTAGTTTTCAGATAAAAGTAACAATTATGAGATATTCAGATAAAATAAATTCAATTATTTTCTGATTTTTTTAAAAATATTTTCTGAATTTTTTGTAATTATTTGCTGAAAAGAAAGTCTTATTTTTTCTGAAAAAGTCTACATTTGGGATTTTTCGGGTAAAAGTCAGAATTCTCAGATTTTCAGATAAAAGTCAAAATTATGAGATTTTGAGAAAAAAAAGACATCAATTATAATTTTTTTTTTTATAAAGTTCAAAATCTTCTGTGAGTGGACGGAGGTTTTGTTCTGCGGTGAATCTGACCGCCTGTCTCTCGGTGTGTCTGCTGTACAACAGGCGACCTTTGTCCTCTTGTTAGGAGCGTCAGGTGCGTCACATGAGGGCGGGGGTTACTGTAGTTCGCGCACTTGGAATTTTGACTTATTTTTAAGAATGTTTCTACCTTTTTTTAAGGAATTTAACTAATTCATTCAAATTCTATTGCATATTGCATGCCGTCCATGGTCATTTCTAAACCCATAGAGAATGTACAATTTTAGGTTTGGTATGACACAACCACACATATTCTCCAACAAACTTAGTTGTGTTCTTAAGTGAGCTACACAGATACAAATCACATTGTACCTGATGCTGGTCACACTGGTGCTGACTGCAGTGGGGCTGGGGACGCGAGCGGCGTTAGTGTGGGGGCTCAGAGGTTGTGACGATGTGGCAGGATCACTTTAAAGTGGAGAAAAGGGAGGTGTAGGTGAAAGGCTGGTAAATACAGATAGTGCAAAGCAGAGAAAAATACTGTCACTGAAAAGATAAGATATGAAAGCATTAAAAGAGGTAAAAGGATCAAATAAACAGGAGGGCAAGAAAAGCAAAAAACAGAGCGAACGTATATTTTCTGAAGCAAAATCCAGCGATGCAAGCAAAATCCAAGACATACCTTGAAGCATTGACCACCTCCTTATTGGTGACGGGTTGTGTGTGCGAGCGATCCTGAACCCTCCTCAGGCGGCGCTCTACGGCAGCGTTTCTGGAGCGCGGTTTGGGAACATCTGATGTCCTTTCCAGCTCCTGGGGAATAAAACATGACAGGAAAACTTCAGTCATTCGTTTAGTAAAGTTTAGTCCATAACAGTGTTCATTTTAGAAACGTATTATAGGAACTTATATTACACAAACGTAATTGTCCGCCGTATAATCAAAGCTCCAGGTTTTGCTTTTCAGATTGTAATTTTAAAAAACACTGCTCATTCCAGTGTTTTGATTATCTGTCCTTATGATTGAAATAACGTCGAAAGCATACCCTGAAGAGGGATCTCTTGGCAGCCACACTCATCTTGGCTCTGTCATCCAGAGTTTCTCCAGCTAATGAAAAGGAGATGTTACATTGCATCAACTGTATTCAAATCTCTGGAAAAACGAAAAATATATTGTGCATTCTGTTAATGCAGTAGACTGAATTTACCTTCTGCATCTTGTAGCTGTGAAGGGCTGAGACGGGACCTGCAGAAAAACATGAATATGTATCAAGCATCAGCATTTAGTCTACATTTTATTCTATTTAAGGAACTGATTATCATGATATAATGCCAACCTAGAACAATGCCAATCCAATTCACAGTATTAAACAAGTGAACCATGCAAAGAATGATTCTCAGAGCTCCTGAGGATCAGTACAGAGAGCCCCTCCTGTACCTATCTGACTCCAGCCGCTCTGCAGAGGTAATGGGCTGCGTCCTAAACCTCTCCGACATGCGACTGTCTCCTGGAGTGATGTAGCGCCGAGGTTTCCGAGCACCCCTTTCCCGATCAGCGCTGATAACCGGCTCTACCTCCACTGCTGACAGATCGACTTTAGTAGTCTCACTTTTTTTGTGATTTAGAAAGATTGACGAGGACAACAAAAAGGAGAAGTACAAGTAAGAAAACTATTGTTGGTTTTGATGTTGTTTTAGTAGACGAGCAGTTTACCAGGGACTTCAATTAGGTTAGAAGAGCAGGGTGTCATACATTGATAGTGGTGCACACGCTGAGCACAACCTAAATGCAACTGTGAAGAGCCATCCACCAACGTTAACATGCAGCTGCAGACAACTTCCAAAGGGTAACTTGCACAAGTAAGTTAGCTCGAAAAACAAACTGCTGACGCGATAATGAACGTGAAAATTGTAGATATCATCGCAATACACCTTGACACATTTCATGCCACAGAATGACATTGTATCAGTAGTATTTTTCTTGAATCATTGGGATTATTAATCTGCATACGTTAGACAGTTATTTAGCGATGCAACACAGAGCCCATGCCATTGAACCTACAACTCAGGTTTCCGGTTGGCGTTCTCCAGGTAGGAGTGTCGCAGCTGTGCTACCGACACCCTGGTGTCCAGGCTGCCCATCTCCCCGTTAGCCATCACCGGTGGAGGGACGGCCCTCAAAGCTTCTCGACTGGCCGCTGCCCTCTCCATGCGGTACGTGTTAGAATGCTGACTTATACCTATATCTGACATGGAGCGGGTTCGTGTCTTTGGTTTGGGCCCTCCGCTCATCTCAATGCTTCTGTGTTTGGCCTGAGGCAACGAGGAGCCCTGCTGGACGTAGATGGCTGAGTCAAACCTCTGGTTCCCTGAAAGATCTAGCTGTTGCTGCTGCCTCTGAGGCTCAACATCTTTGTCTAGTTTGGGCTCTTGTTGATTTCTGCGGGAGTCTTGCTGCTGATTTGGAGGATCTTTTCTCAGAAGCTCAGAATCCGGTTTTCTTTGAAGCGGCTGTTGTCTTTGAAGATCTTGTGACCGCCTCGGGTGGTCATCCCGATGCTGCATTAGAGGATCTTGTGGTTGTCTTAAACGATCGTCCTGATGCTGCATTTGAGGATCTTGTGGTTGTCTCAAACGTTCGTACTGATGCTGAACTTGAGGATCTTGTGGTTGTCTCAAACGATCATCCTGAAGCTGCATTTGAGGATCTTGTGGTTGTCTCAAACGATCGTCCTGATGCTGCATTTGAGGGTCTTGTGGTTGTCTCAAACGTTCATACTGAAGCTGAATTTGAGGATCTTGTGGCTGTCTCAAGTGGTCGTACTGATGCTGCATTTGAGGATCAGGTTGTCTCTTTCTGGTTTCAAACTGTGGTTGTGTTGGGGGTTCTTGCTGCTGAAGTTGGGGCTCTTGCTGTTGAACTTGAGCCACAGGTTGTCTCTTTCTAGGTTCATACAGTGGTTGTGTTGGGGGCTCTTGCTGCTGAAGTTGGGGCTCTTGCTGTTGAACTTGAGCCACAGGTTGTCTCTTTCTAGGTTCATACAGTGGTTGTGTTGGGGGCTCTTGCTGCTGAAGTCGGGGCTCTTGCTGTTGAACTTGAGCCACAGGTTGTCTCTTTCTAGGTTCATACAGTGGTTGTGTTGGGGGCTCTTGCTGCTGAAGTCGGGGCTCTTGCTGTTGAACTTGAGCCACAGGTTGTCTCTTTCTAGGTTCATACAGTGGTTGTGTTGGGGGTTCTTGCTGCTGAAGTTGGGGCTCTTGCTGTTGAACTTGAGCCACAGGTTGTCTCTTTCTAGGTTCATACTGTGGTTGTGTTGGGGGTTCTTGCTGCTGAAGTTGGGGCTCTTGCTGTTGAACTTGAGCCACAGGTTGTCTCTTTCTAGGTTCATACAGTGGTTGTGTTGGGGGTTCTTGCTGCTGAATTTGAGCCACAGGTTGTCTCTTTCTAGGTTCATATTGGGGTTGTGTTGGGGGTTCTTGCTGCTGAAGTCGGGGCTCTTGCTGTTGAACTTGAGCCAACGGTTGTCTCTTTCTAAGTTCATATAGTGGTTGTGTTGGGGGCTCTTGCTGCTGAAGTTGGGGCTCTTGCTGTTGAACTTGAGCCACAGGTTGTCTCTTTCTAGGTTCATATAGTGGTTGTGTTGGGGGCTCTTGCTGCTGAAGTCGGGGTTCTTGCTGCTGAAGTTGAGGCTCTTGATGGTACACAGGCTCTGTGGACTGATGCTGCCTGGGCTGCTGGCTTGCAGAAATGTGGGGAGGCTGGGATCGAAACAATCTCTCCTGTTGGCCATCATCACTCCCTCTCTCTCTGATCCTTTCGACATTTCTCTCCCTCCCCCTCTCCCTTGGTGTCTCATGATCCCAGTCTTCCTCGCCTCGACTTATCCTCCTCTGTTCTGGGCTGTATGTTTGCCAGTCCATCTCTTCATGCGGGCCACTTTGAGTATCATCCACACTCTTTTCCCTTCGGCGGATCTCAGATGGCAAAACGGCTTTCCTGCTCTTCAGTAGACCCTCTGTGTGGGCCTCTTCCTTCAGCGCCTGCCTGGCCTCCATTCTTGCCCCCCTATGGGCGGCATGGATTTGGTCAGCACTCACTCTTCTTCGTGGTAGTACCTCGGGGGGTCCAGGAAGTTTGGCAGTGGCCACTGGGGCAGGGATGGCCAAATAAGGCTGAGAGTCAACAGCAGGACCAGAGTGTTGGTACTCAGGATGGGCTGTTTGGCCTGGGCTGGACTGAGGATGGGGAGCAGTCCTTTGCTGGGGGAGTTCTGATCGTTGTGGCGTATACTGAGCAGTGTTCCCCTGAGTATGGTGTCTGTTACCCTGGTGTGTGTCTGGACTCCAGTCAGGGGGCTTCTGGACTGTTTCATCCCTGGACAAGCGTTCCCTTACCCGGATTCTTTAGGGAAGGAATGGATAGGGTACACTGAGATTCCAGTTCAATTTAAGACACACTTCTGAACTCAAACAAAAGGGGACTAAAAAGCACATACCAAGCTTTTTTTAAAATTGGATACAAAGGATGGTTAATAAAATAAATTAGCCAAAGTAGTAGTATCATTTGTCTTACAATCTAACCCTAACCCTAACAAATTGTGAAACATATTGCACACACGTTAATTACATTACACTATCATGGGACAAACTTGAGCTTCCAAATCATAGAGTAGTATTGAAACAAGGTCAAGTAGCAGCATGCCCTGGGTTTAAACTTGAGTTTTGCTTCGAACAACTCTCTGACGTCTCCTTGCCAAAAAGTAAGCCAAACTATTTTCATCTACAACCTTTTGACCCCGGGTAGCCAAAGGTTGCTCTAATCTCATTGAAGAGCACTAAGCCAGACATAATTGATGGGCCTCTCCTTTATCTGACATGGCACGAAGGACTTACACTGTGCTGGTATACATGAGTTCACACCAATGCTAGCTAGCATAAGCGGCTGATAAGGCTACAAAGGTGCTGATGGCAGCAATATCTTCTTTTGAGACACATCAGATGTTTTCCTTTTCAAGTCACTTGGGCAAACATTAAGACATCTGTGGTGTTCAGCAATAAAATCAATGAAGATTTACTACCACTCTCTTTCAAGGTTGGTGTGGTTTGCTAGCCTTGCCTCTTTGAATTTCACCTTTCCTTACAGCTCAAAGGCTGTCCATGCAACTTCATCGTTCCTAAGGCTATCAGAAAACGAGATATGTCACGTAACTGGGCCACCGTCCAGTCCAGAAATACATGTAGAACCAAGGACTTCTACAATCTAGGAAAACTCAAATAAAATCTGAGTTTTCTGGTAATCAATTTTTCTCTAGAATCCTTTCAGCGCTAAATGATACTAGGTGATTAAAAAGTCTACATGCTAGCTGTCAAGGCAACATTCACGTCTTATCTTATGCAACATCATTGACAAGGTCACTGACAGGGATAGGAGATTCAGGTGTAATTTCATAGGGGTTAATAGGTCAGATTGTGAGGAGGGGGGATTTGAGCGCCGCCTCAGCTGACAAGTGCTGAGTCAGAGGGTCTACGACTGACTGGGTCAGGGCATCAAGCTGACTAATGTTGTCACCTCATCAAATCCGTTTCACTAACACTCAACTGCTCATGAAAACCAGGCCACACAGTCACAACTCATTTAACAAGAGCGATGGTATTGTGCTGGTGGACAAATGGTCGTTTTTAAAAGGGTTCTGGGTATGTTTAAAGAACATTATCCGACATATGTGACAGAAGAGGTGTAAGTGGATCACCCCAGATTCCTGCAAGGTATTTTTAGAGACTATTTTTTTAGTAGACAGAGACTGTTTCCATGTTTTAAGAGAACAAAAAGAACTGTTTATAAGGCTTAATATTTAGTAAAACAAGAATTTAACCAGAGGATTTCTAGGTTGATTCTTAGTTGGGATGTAGCAAGAGATGAACTCATAATTCTGACACAAATGAAATGTAATTAATTAAAGTGACATAGAAAATGCACAAGATTATAACTTAAATAAGATTTATGATGGCAAAAAAGTGAGTGATCTAGAAAAACAGATGAAAATGTATGTATTGAGTGAATCTTTTAAGGAATAAATGTTAATTTGTAAGACTTAACTAGGGCTAGTCCGTTTTTCAAACCCACTCAAATCCACAGACTTAAAACACTTGTTAAATGGAGGATAATTAAACAAGTTAATAGGGGGAAATATTACTGATTAAATATAATATTGCACAGTTAGAAGGTTTATCTAATGGGATGAGTTAGCTGTATGTCCACCCAGAACATGTTTTTAAAATGCTGGCATATTATCCTGTTACCATTTCTATAAGTATTTTTGACATTTTCCTAGATCTCAGAATATGTTTAAACAGTGTTTTGAAGAAATGTTATTGTTTTTGAAGACCTATGAATATTGTGTAAAAGAGATAACAGTATAACTATAGAATAAATCAGCAACCCTGAACATCAAGTGACTACAGCCAGCTTAAGCACATGAACCTGGTGGACTACAGGGGCTTTGTGAGGTCTTTCCACTGATCCTGAGCACAGTACCTTGAAGGCCAGCTGAAGTCTGCCTGAGTGTCGCTCTCTGAGTCTGTGTTGAGAGACCAGTCGCTCTTTGACAGGGCGGCCAGGCTACAACATGATGTGGTGACAGTGTCAAACCCAGAGGGGAACTTATGATCATTCTTTCATACTGTAGGTCAGAGAAATGTCAGCTGCACTGTACAGCTGAAGTGTCAATCAGGAATATTTGCAGATATTTGCATAATTGAGCAGTCAAATTATTGTGTAGTTGGTAAAATGGTTGTGTACTTTGCACATTTTGATTAAAAGTTTGTCAATAAAGTTTGACTATTTTCAATTGGTATAGAATACATTTTTCACCTTCGTGAATCTGAATGCTATTATTCGTAGTTTTCCTTTCACACACAGTATTATGCTTGTTTAGGTTTCAATGCCATGAAGTAAAATTATTTATAACTTGCTTCAATTGACAAATATTAGACAGTAAAATGACATGATGTTTTTGACCAATGTCCTGCAGAGTTGATGTAGGGTGTAAGAAATAAAATCAATGTTTATAAGGCGTAATTTAAATTAAATACACTGTTTTAATTTAAAGCTGTTTTATTCTGAAAACCGGAAATTAAATACACTGTTTTGATTTAAAACGGTTTTATTCTGAAAAACCGGAAGTTCACACAACGTCTTCTTGTTTTGCGAGTAAATATTGATAGTTTCAATTTAAGGTTAGCATTAGCATGTGGCTAAAGACTACGTTTTGAAACAGTGAATTTAAGGTGAAATTACATGTGGTGTTGCACACTAAACACACTGTCTTTAACCCTCACTTATTGACGCTGCAATACTAGGGAATGTGTAAATAACCACAGACATTAGAATATTGTAAATTAACAACAGGAAAAGACAGGATATGCATTGGACTGTCGACGCCGGCCAATAGGAGGAGACAACAGTTGATAACACGTGGAGATGGGGAGAAATCTCTCTCTTTCAACTCAGCTGACCCGGCCGGCAACAGCTGGGAGGGGGGAGCCATGCCATCTTGCACATTCTCATTTTGTATCATGTATCCTTTGTTTAATTAAATGCTGTTAACTTTTGAGAAAGCTTCCTTGGACTCTTTTCAGCTAATCCTGCTTTCAGGGCTAAGAAATCCTTACAAGGGACAATATTGAGGGGTTGACCATTGCTTTTATAAATATTTACAATATGAGATTTTTGATAAATGATGTAGGTCAACGACAATAAAAGAACATCTACAGCAGTCTGCTATGTTAATGAAGATACATTACTTAGATGTAATGCTCCCTTTTAAACCAGGGAAAGAAATTATGCCAGATTAAAATATCCAATATCTGAGTAGATCCCCAGTTTCATATAATATGGAAATATAATAGCAATGTTTGTTGCCAAGCCCTAGTTCCCATCCCTTTTGTGGTAGTATATACGTTTCTTATAGCAAGTGACATAAGTGCTTTGCTAATGAACCAAGCTGCTGTTAAATCAGGATAACCTCTCGGGGGCAAGGAAGGAAATCATACCCACTCCAAAAACCGACCCTGACATCTACCCTGCAACCTTTCCCTGAGGAGCTCCCCAGAGCACCTTTCCATGTGAAACTGGAGCAGGGTGAGCGTGACAGAGCCGGACTCACGGTCTACAAAAGATCCTAATACTGGCGCAGTGTAGAAGCAGCAGGCTGGTTAGCTTAGCAGCCAGAAGACAGCCCAAACTGCACCGCTTCATGAATATCTCAGTGTAGGACTTATTAGCAGCCAGTGGATCAGTGTAAATATTGTCATGAAAACAGGGGTTCGAGTTGTGTAACCCCCCTAATGTAGTCTAAAGATACACTGCAGACACAACATTATACTTTTAAATGGTCCGATCACTCCACGGGAAGCAGATAGAATAACCCAGAGAGTCATTTAATGGCTTGTGATAATGATCAAGGCCATTTAAAAAGACCTACTCGAATGACTGAAGTATCTGCATGGAGTTAAACTAGAGAGGAATAATTTATTTCTTATTTGATGATAAAGACCTGCTAATAAAACAAGAAGTAATCATCAAAATCCAGTATGAAACTTTTTGAATTACTTTTCATGTTTAGAGTAAGAGTTAGTCTCTGTATCAGACGCATGTCTCAGAATCTGTTCAGTCGTCAGTGTTGTATTTTCTGAATGTTATGACCGTTTTTTATGAACTCACCCCTGCCTGTTGAGGATGCTCTGGGCCTGCTGCTCTATGAATAAATCCCCAGGTGAGATGCCATAGCGGTTGGAGGGCAGCGAGGCCCGGCGGGCGGTGCGAGGGGAGCTGGGCACCGCCGCAATGCTGTAATCCCGGCTGGAGGCGGGGCTTGGCTCCTGGTGGGCGGGGTCCTGCTGGTGCTGGGGATGAGGCTGCTCCTGGGTTCTCGTTAAAGGAGCGATTGAGCGCTCTTGAGCCCCACCACGTCGGTAGTTCTCCATGTTCATCGCCCTTTCCCGATCAGAAAACCTCCGCTGCCTTTCCTGTGTCTTGGGAGGGGCTTGGTTTGAGTGGGCGGGGCTGGGGGTGGAAACAGGGGCGGGGTCCGGCTGATTCCTCATGTAAACCCTGCCCACTCCGGAGCGGTATGGCACCCTGGGATCTCGTCCTTGTTCCTCAGCTTCCTGTTTGTCTCTTTCTCGCCTTGCAGCTGTTTGTCGGTCGGGGGTGTCCGTATCACGGCGGGATCGGTGGCGAGGTGTGAAGTCGACGTCCGCCTCCTGATCCAGGAGAATGCCATACCGCTCTGAAAGCTGCCGGCGGCGCTCGGCTTTGTAGCGGGCGATGCGTTCAGCCTTGGAGCTGAGACTGGAGGGGTCAGCGGGCCCAGATGTGGGTGTAGAAGAGGTGGATAACGACACTGGGTCAACGTACACCAACATGGGGTCTGGGCGGCTGCTGCCAACACCACCTTTGATCTGAGGGGATCTGTCCTGAGATGAAAGCTGCTTCTGGGGGGCCTCCAGCTCCTCACGACTGTAGCGTCTCACTGTGGTAAATAGTGGAAATACTCCATTACTTATTAACAACGTTGCTTGACAACCAATCATTTGCCACATTCATGTCCCGCAGGAGTTACTGTAGTTAATTTTCTGTCTTCTAGATAGGGTTTAACCACCAAGTCACAATTATGGTTGGACCACATATTTTTCTAAAAGCTCAAATAGCTAATTGATCAAAAATGCATAAGTGCAACAAAGAAAACCAATTTGGATGCCTCCTATTAGCCACGGTTAACAATTCAAGGCAATTGCTGTTATCAAATTATATGTATCGTTATTTTGACTTCATATGGTATATTTGAAGTCACACACAAACCAATCTGCAATGTTACTGTCCTGTATAATGATGTTAACACTTGCAACCTTCATCCAACGTGACATAAATATGACATTATTTTTACAAAACACATAACAGATTTACAAGTCAATTAGTGAATTAAATTCCTTCAAAATGCAACAACATGCAACAGCTTCTGTGTGTTTTATTTTCACTGACACAGTTACATTATGTTGACATTAAAGTAGCCAGGATTGATTTAAAAACGTGTTGCATATATTAACAGATTGTTTTAGAAAATCTGCAAAAGTAAACATGAATGAATGCTTGTTTACATCCAACTGTTATGCTATTATCAGGAGTTGGTTTATGAAGTTGATGCCAATTCTCCAGAAGCAAAAACATCTGATTGCAGATTGTGCACCAAGATTATTAATTTATTTTCAATATTGATGAATATCTTAAAAAAAGGAGCAAGTCGAACTTTTGTAAGAAAAAATATATTTGTGAGGTTTTTCTGAATTGTTATTTTCTTTAAATATTTTTGCATTTCTGGTCAGGTTTTATACTTCACAAATTTAAAATGTGCCATAAATCTGGTGGATGGAAACACACCTAGAGAGTAAAAAATAAAATAAATTCTATGGTTTACAAATACTGAATAGCCGCGTTCACACCGGAGTACTTTTCACTGTACTTTTCACGTTTAGTTCCGTTAGTACCCCTTATGTCGCGTTCACACCAAAAAGAGCACTTAATCTCGGGAACTTTTACCCCCATTTTTAGTGCCTGCTGAGAGGTGGTACTTTCCTGGGGGAAAAAAAGTGCCCCAGTTCTGATTGGCTTGGCGAATTGCAAACCACGCCCCGTACAACTCTGAAATGTTTTGTAGAGCCGCCATTTTATTATCCTCGCATTAGCATTATTAGCATTAGCATTCGCCCAGCGCACAAACGCAGAGAGACTCACTTATGGCAACACAAAAGAAAACATGGGAGCGGTGGAGATGAGGAGGTGTCGGCGTTCTGGCGATTTACTCGGAAGGCTTCAGTAGAAGCTGCTGGGAGTCCCAGCAGCTTCGACTGAAGCCAGTCCCAAACTCCGGGGACTTCCGGCCGGGGACTTCGGGTGGCAGTATACGCCGTGAAGTTGTTTGCGGCCTGCCAGTAAACCCAAAGCAGAAGAAGACGAAGTGACGTCAGCGGCTCATTTGCGTAATCTTCCCTCAGGAATTTATTCCGGTGTGAACGCGATCTGTACTAAGTGCCCTGGGGTAATAAGTGCCGGGGCACTGAGTGCCGGCACTGAGTACGGCAAAGTACTTGGTGTGAACACGGCCAATAACAAACATGACTTAATGGCTGTTTGACAAACACAAGAACATTTCAGGATTGTCAATCAAAGTAAGGCAGCATCATATGTTCTTGCAGTGCATCATGCCATGCTTACCCATCACACAAGGCTCACAGGGGTCTGAGGCGCGGGTGTACCGCGGGGAGTCCTCCTCCAGCATCCTGTTGGCTACCAAACCACCGGGCACCAGCGCAGGCGGAGCATCGCTCTCCATCCCCTCCAGACGCCGGGCTATCCTCTCCTTCCTGTGACCAGATGCAAGGCAGAGAGTAAAGGTCAAAAGTTGTGAGGCTGGGATTGTTTTTATGAAATTATTGAGACGTGTTTATGTGAAAACACAGAGAAATGAGCCCTGAAATTACCTGTTCATTCCCAAATCTTCTGGGACAGGTCCCTCAAAGTATTTCTTCAACTCTGAAACTGAATATTAGAAGAGAAAATATATATTTAGTGTCGTAAAACAATGAAAAGTATTACATTATGTGATTATTCTCAGTAATTGTTTGTGTTTAGAGCCAATGCACACCCTTGGGGAGGACAAACAGAAGTTTGGCATCTGTATCTGAAACACTCTTGACCAGGGCGGTCTTTTCCTCCAAGGAGAAGTCACTCTGAAAACTGAATGAGAGGAAAGAGTCATAACATGCTATCAAGAAAATCTATATTTAATAAAAAACATGGTTCATTATTGGAGGGTGGGTAGCTGCTATATTCTAGTTTACTATTGGTTGAAAGAGGTGTAAAGTGGTGATGCTGAATGGAGCTAAACTACATTTCTCTACATATTGTTCTGATTAAAACACATCAGTACATTTGTGCCTAGTTTCCTATGGCAGCTGTCCAAAGAACTCTGCCTCAAACGCCTTGTCTTAAAAAGGTGATGGTAAATCTCAGCTGGAGTTTCTTCCAACAGGATCCAGCTTAAGAACTGGGTCATTAAATCCTCCAAGTGGAAATTAACAATTGAGGTCTTCCCCTAATGTCTTCACATGTCATTATCAAGAGGACACATGAGCCAGGATAAGGTAACTTGCCATTCCTTTCTTTACAAAACCCTCACAAGCTATTCAATCTGTTGTTTAAACAGAGCAGTAAAGTTTGTAATTTATATTTCTCATTTGGAGAGATTGGCGTCTTGAATAATTATGCATTTGTACTCATTATATCCAGTATTATTTTTTACAGTATTTATAAGGGACAGATCAGTTAAATTGCTTGCCACTAAGAGGTTTTGATCAAATGTAAAACAGTTGTAACTTTCTGCCAGACAGCTTAAGAACCAGAGGAACTCAATGCAAAAGGGGGCTTGGGGCAAAGTGCTCCTGAAGGAGGTATTATGGCTTTAATGGCATGTGAACATAAAAGTGCCTTAAGATAAGCTGTTACTGGCATATGCAGCTTGTAATGCTTACTGCACGTGATTAGCTACAGCACTCAACTGTGGTAAATCTATATCCTTACATATCCCTCACTTGATGACAAAGCAAAAACTAAATGAATGTATTAAATGCTCTTAGACGATACTTCCTCGAGTAATTGACTAGTGTCTGTGCGGTGATTGCAAACAGAAGACTCACCTTAAGGCCTCTGTTGGCAAAGAGGCTGAGCTGCAAAGCTTGGGACAAGCTGTGGATCCTAATTCTAAAAAGACAAATAAGACTCAGTCAAGACTCATGTTCAATTTATCTGTGCTGACAATGGGAGTATTGAAACATGTTAACCTAGTCAAAAAAGCGTTACATTTAGAAATACGGTAGATACATATAAACAAAGCGTATCTTATATTCTTCATAGATATTAAATACATTAATGACATCATGGATGATATTACAGCTGAGATTCAGATGGTTGTAAATATCAAAATGATCCAGAAAAAATTCAACAGAGGTCAATTTTTGCCACAAATATTACAATGGCATCTCGTTCAAGATGGTGGATGTGAGATAAATGTCCTCCAATACTACTATAAACTCCAGCGCATTGTTTTGGCTACAGATAAACCTTTAAACTTATGGATGTATTACATAAATTGGCGACATTATTTCTTTGTATTCTTGGCATCTAAAATAACGTGTCCTCACTGACGCAGCTGGTTGCATTTGTCTAATGCGATGTTTAATCTGCATAACTGGTCAGACACCTACTAATGGTCTGACCAAACAATACTGTGTGTGTAAAACAAACATCAACCCATTTACAAATCTTCACTTTATGAGTGACGTCACATACGGAAAATTCTTCAGAAAATCTTTTACAACCCTTCAAAAGCATAGTCCCTAGAAAATCTGGTCATCAATAATCAAAATGTCAATCATAGGCAAGTTTTAATGGCAATATGTTTGTGAATATACATAAGGAATATTGATAATGCACTACAGCTACAGTATTCAGGGGCCATATGTGCTTTAATCAGATAAATTCAACTTTTTAACCCCTTTTTACAACCTCTGTAACAAATCAGAGACCGGGTGCCAGATCGTAAGCACACATCCAAGTAAAGCTACAAAAATGCTACACAATGTAACAAAAGCAGGGCAACACGCCAAGCAGACGAAGCCCCTCAATGAGAGTGAATCTGGGGTTGGACTTCCCCATCTTGACCATGGAAAGAGGGGCCAAACGTGAATGTTGTGTTTACAAACCCTAACCCTAGATTCTGCTCATAATGCCTTTAACGATAAATGGTTTACATTTAGTCATTAAGAGAAGTCAGACTTCTTCAAGATTAAACACCAACAACGTGCTGATTTGACAGGACACTTTCAGCCTCCCTCGTCTAAAAAGGTTCCTCAGAAAGTTCACATCCAGTTCCCAGCTGACAGTTGACCCGTTTGCTCTCACAGCAACAGCAGCCTGTTGTAAAGTTGTATCCCAGTATAGGAGACGGATCATGTTTCTGCTCCAGACGCCTCCTGAACACCTCCGGACTATTTTGGCCCCAAAAGGCTGTGTGTCTATACAGCATGGGATGTTTGGCAGGACACAAGGTATGTAAGTATGGTGCTAGAAGTCCTAATGCTTGCTTGGACATCAAGTTTAAGAGCTTCCAAGTGTTTTGTGTAGCTACCAGTGAAGTTCAAGGACTCAAAAGTGCCAGGTCTGGATGTAAAAGATGACACAAGTCAGAATTAGACACGAGCGGGGTCAGAAATCTGGGTTGGATGTGCTCAAACATTATTTTATCTCACAGCACAATGATTCATAGCCTGTGGGAACCTTGTTTACATCTATCTGTCTGTTCATCTGCCTGGAAAGCCCCTCGCCGGTGCAGCTTTCCTTAGAAACGCCTGCAGGTTGTCAACAAAACAAGCAGCACAAGATTCAAGGTTGACAGCGCCAGAGAGAAGCTTAGTGCTGCTGACGGTCCAAAAATGAGGGTGGTGAGGAGTGGGATTTTCTATATATATTCAGAGGTGCGAAATAGACTTCCTAAGTGAACCGGGCCTTCGCTTGCACACAATCTGTTTCGAAAGGTTGCTGGTAGAACATGAACACCCTTCCTCCATCTCGGCAAGCAAATGATGGAGAGCATTGACAAGGTGGGACATCGGAGGGGTGAAAACGGGAAAAAGCATAACATATAGCACATACTGTATAATGGAAATGCAGCACCAACTACACTTGACCTTTCATTGCTAAACCACACACTTCATTCATTCGTAGCAGCCTGATGCTAACATTCACACCAATCGTAGTAGATTCAAGCATGTATTTTATTCCAAATTCGTGAAATGCATTAGGCAGGGATGAGTAGCTCTCACACACGCCATGAATCCTCGTATCCTCTGATCCAACCAAGCAAAAAGAAGCGAAACAAGCAGTCAGCACTTCACAGCCTCTAAGCCCGAATCCCAGTGACAGCCACCAAACTGTCATTTACCTCAGTAAGGAGCTCAATTGCATTAGCAAAGTCCCCCAAGCAGTCTATAGGTGTAATAGGGGTATTCGACAGGGTCAAGCAGGTCACCCTATAGCCAGACCTTCCCCTTTCAAAGGCCTTACCTTGGCCACATGGCTGCTCATGGTTCACATGGTAACTAGAGATCCAAGGGTTTCGAAACATGTTTAGGGAGAAAAATAAAGATGTTCCGCTGCTAGACTCCCCCTCCGATCACAGCGGTGGAGGCCGACGGCTGCTACCGGCAAGCAGGGATGGAGATAGTGACACGACCACACACACACACACACACACACACACACCGAAGAGCACACAGCGACAGACAGAGCAAACTGCCCCGGATACACGGCAAACCTACAGCCTGCACAGACTGGCTGTCATGCAGATTGTGTGTGTCAGTGTGCATGTCAGTGTGTGTGTGTGTGTGTTGGTGTGTGTGTGTGTGTGTGTGTGTGCATGCAAGGGAGCTGAGAGAGAGAGACAGCGCAGCGGGTTGCTAAAGCAGCTCAGAGCCCTAATCAGATTACAGGCAGAAATTAGCCTTGATGATAAAAACTCTGGAACACGATTGGAGGAGGGTGCCAGCAGGCCACAGGTGGTGGTGTGGGGCCACTGGGAGTCAGACGGTATCCTTAACACTTGCATGGAAACTTCTAGATTCAAGGCTTTTATTGCCATTTGCACATAGCTACAGTGTAGATCAGGGGTGGGCAATTATTTTTTCCATGGGGCCACATGAGAAACTGAAAATATTGTGGAGGGCCGGGCCAAAAGGCTGAACTCAATTCTGCATAATATTAATTGTATTTCTTTATAAAAAGCAGTAAATAGCATTGTTTTGACAAGCTGGTAAGAGTATATGTTATAGTTAAGCAATGAAAAAGTGAGGTTGCCTTACAAAAAAATGTCATTTATTAAATCAAATTTCCCAAAACAATGGTAAACAAAATGAACGTTTTTCACCATTTGTGACTCATATTAGTGAACATTTTCAGTCACATTCACTCAAACACATTTTGAGTTTCATTTACTGTTGGAAAGAGGTTCTTAGCATTCTAAAGACATCACAATATTGTCTTTGTACTCCAAATATTAAGCAAGATACATCATATTGAACTGTCACTAAACATCACTGAACTGTGATTTTGAGAAAAAGGCTTCCAAAGAAAGTGTCCCAGTTCACTGTTGGTGCCTTTACATGCCAACATTTGTAGTCTAACCACCTCATTTGGTGTTTTTAAGTTCTCTTTTCTTGTTCAGTGAGAGAAATCTAGTCTCTGCTGGGCTTTAACGAGTGCATCAAAGTCAGGTTGAATGTCTGAGGTGGAGATGCGAAGCACAGCTGACAGATGATCATCAGTGAGAGAGGATCTATACCTGGATTTCGTAAACTTCATAATTGAAAATGTTTGTTCACATATGTATGCGTGTCCATGCACTCGTTTACCTCCGTGAACAGATCGCTCCCTGTCGTCGTCCCTTTCATCGACCGCATTGCTGCCAGCTCCTCCGTAATCTTGAAGTCCGGTGTTATCCCGCGGACGAATACGAGTAACTGGGCTGTGTCGCGGACATCACAGCTCTCGTCCAAAGCCAAGGAGAAAAAGTCGTAACTTGCCACTTCACGTTGCAGCTGAAGCTCCAGATTCCCCGCAATGTCCTCGATCCTTCTAGTCACGGTTCGCCTGGACAGCGGGACTTGCTCAAATGCGGCTTTTTTTTCAGGGCATATTAGTGCTGCAGAGTCCACCAAGCACTCTTTGACAAACTCCCCCTCCGAGAACGGCTTACTGTTTTTAGCAATTTTGTGGGATATCACAAAGCTGGTCATGGTTGCTGCATCACTGGATGTGTGAAGCTTGGTAAAAAAGCCTTGCTGCTTTTGCAGCTTAGCTAGCAAAGCTTCCGATGTCCGCGCCCTTTCAGCGTCAGTCAAGTTTTTATATTTCTCCGCGTGTTTCGTCTCGTAATGTCGACTCACATTGTACTCCTTAAACACGGCGATCTGCTCCCCGCAAACTAAACACACGGTTTTACCTCCGACTTCAGTAAATAAATACTTAGCAGTCCAATTTTTGTTGAAAACCCTGCATTCAGCATCTACCTTTCTTTTTTTAGCGGACATTTTTTTGAGGGCTAAAGTCGTCTTGTGACAAGGATCCAATAATGTGCACGTCTTGATATACGTATTGCGTCATTATGCACGTGAATAAAAAACAACTTCAAAATAAAAGCAATGCAGCTTTAGTCCATGCATGAGGTAAAGTTAGAAAATATGTTTATTTTGTAATTTCCAATTAGCCTTACACGGGCCGGTCAGAGTCAACCAAAGGGCCGTATGTGGCCCGGGGGCCGTACGATGCCCAGGTCTGGTGTAGATGTATCAATGAAAATATTAGGTCACAGGCTCCTAAACAGTGCGACAAGATAAAACAGATAAAATAGTGCAAGTAGATACAAATAAAATAGGGTAGAAATAGTGCAAGGAGAGTCTATTCTAAAATACAAAGCCAGGACTTGCATTAATATTAATGTCATTAAGTTGTCTGTTTTGAAATCCACCAGATCATTTATTTATATACACATTTAGAGTATTACCGGGAAGATGACTCATTATGGTTTTTACTGACAGCCTTGTCTTGATGCCAGTTTGGCCGCTGAGAAAGGCTTTATCAAGCGATCACATGCAATGCAGTAGACCAGTATTTGTTATTTCCTGCCATATACTAATCTTTTCTGATTA